TTCTGAATAACTTCTCCCACCTCAATCCCCATATACCAACACTTAAACTTATATGTATAGAGCAGCCCGGTCCTCCGGGCTGCAATAACTATTATAGGACATAGCTACAATTTTGAATGAAAAATGAAACTCTCTGCGGCTAAACATATTCAGAATAGATTTAGTTGTTATTTTCATGATTTTTGAAAAAAAGTTTGTTTGTATCACCTGTCCTTAACTTCTTCATTCCTTTGCGGAATAGATTCCTTAAGTCTCACATTCATTTAAAGACACTCAGAGAGTTGCAAAAACTGTTTTGTTTATTTTTTGTTAACAGGAATTTGATACGATATGACTGAATCTTGAGAAGTTCATCAGACGACACACAGAGGGACATGACGGCCTACTCGAGCACTCGTCGCCGCAGCAGCATCACATTCCAAGATTATACCCGAATAAAGGAGGCCCTAAACCAGCTTAAAGAACAGAAAAAGGGGATCAAACGCCCCAACAAAGAGAATCACGTGCGCAATGGACACCCTCCAACAACAGCAATTCTGAGAGTAATCCAGTTCCTCGTGTTAGGGGTTGTGATCATTATAGTTTTATATGGAGTTTTACATATGTTATAAACGGTGCATTTTGAATCATTATCCCAGGTGACTCCGTGTTCAAACAGTTATATGATATTGTGGTCTTTTGTTGTGAAATAAATGATTTATCAATAAAATGTTTAGTCATATCAAAATTTTTCCTATTTGGTCCATTTCCATTTCGGGAAATTTCAACTAAATTTTCGGACAAGCAAAAACTAAAAAGGAGGTGGGGTTAGATTGAGGTTGTAGATATCATAGGGGACTATGTACAATTCTTGTTTAAACATCTTAGGAGCCCTTTGACCGCTGTATACTCTTAAGATTTACTTATAGAATGAGGAATAGTTGAATCCACTACGCGCTATTTTTTAATTTTGGTCACTTCTCTTTCTCGTGTAGAAAAAATAAGGAAAATGTAACTTCACAATGATATTGGTTTGAATAATAAGAATATTTGTTTTCAAAAGATTAAAATGAATGCAAAATACCTACTGACTGATACACTGTATATGTTTGTAAAATGCGAAGATAACGAAAAGTGATCAATCTCATAATTCCAGTAAACAAAAAGAATCGTGAACAAAAATACACGGACCCCTGGAAACACCAGGGGTGGGATCATATAATTTTTAGTAACGAATTATCAACTTTTAGTTTTATATCATACTGAATGTAAATCGTCATGTTTAAATAAAATTGTTATGCCCCCCCCCCCCCCCCCTTAATCGAAGATTTGGGTGCATATAGTTTTGGGTTAGTCCGCTTGTCTGTTTGTCTGCAGGACCTTTAACTTTCTCCATAACTTTTCAACGGTTGGTTCTATAGGACCTCTCATATTTCAAATGTGTATTCTTTGTGACAAGACCTTTCCTTTTCGGTTCCACATTTTTGACCTTGGAAAATTCTGACCATGGAGTTTGACCTACTAAGAGTATAAGTTTGAAACTTTAACATTGGTCATGAGCTGCCATATGGGGGGAGGGGGTCAGTATTTCGCAAACACATCTTTTGCTGTCTGTCCTGGATGATCAGTGGTTGAAAGCATTTGCTTAGTAATTTGCAGATCCAAGCAAGGATTTTATTTTTTCTTCTGTGAATTTACTATTTTAAATGCTTTTTTCGCTACTAGTATATTCTGTATATATTTCAAAATACCGACGGATTATCTTAAGAATCCAATATTTTTCATCTACTAATTTTTTTCCTGAGCTATAACACCTTGATTGATGACAAAACTGGTACACAAAGGGACAAAATATACTTCAAAGGGGAGTGGGAATGATTCATTTTTATATGATACTCTCCTCTGGTTGACCAGAAATAACCAAATATCGATAAACTTTGTGCAGTTGCAATTCGCTGAATATAGACGAAAGGTTTTAGAAAAAAACTCATATTGCAATTACGCGTGGGAGTAATTAACGCTAAATACGCAATAAGAAATCTTTCTCCCCCGCGTACCATTGCATTTGTACATAACTCCTCACGTATTATTAATACAGGATGCTTTATCCTGGTATCGCAGAAATAATGTTTTCTGTACTTATTCGCTACATTAACAAATAAACAAGAGGCTTAAAGTGCCTTAACGGTCACCTGGGTATAATACAACCCTGTCAAGAATCCACAGAATGACAATTCAATAAATATAACGAAAGAAAATAAACTGATAGATGAAGATATGTTGCCCTAAAAGCAAAAGAGATAGGATAACCAGGGGTTAGGAAAGTAGTCTGGTACTCAACAACTCAAAAAATAGCTCTACAGTATTTATACTTGCCTGTATGTGCCATTGCATTTGTCACTACCACCAAACTATATAATCCAGCACAATCCCTCAAACCCCCTTTTGAATAACATTTAATTTACAAATGTAGGGTATTTTTGCCTCATTTTAATTTATCTATTATTTACAAGTCTACCTGACCATCATTTTTTTTATTCAATTTTCCTATTGATTATATCATTTATGATTAATTATCATAGGTGAATAGCAAAGGGGAATAACTTTTCTCCAAGTAGAGTGCAAATTTCCTAACATGAACAATAGAGTCCTGTCCAGCACCAGAAAACTTGACCCAGTGGTCCAGAATTTCACACATCTGGTAAAAACACCCTTGCTCATTACAACTTTGCACTCTGATTGCCTCCTAGATGTCTGTGAGTACCAGAGAAGATTTTCAAACAAATTGTACATTTTCATCATATAATCAATAGAGCCCACACCTGACCCAAGGGACATGAATTTTACAATTTTGGAAAATGCACCCCTACTCATCATAACCATGCACTTGGTTTGTCTGTTTTATACCAAGGAGCAAAAATGATTTTCAAAGAATTCATGCATTTTCACTATATACTAGTAATCTAACACCAGAACTCTGGCCCTTGCACCATGAATTTCATGATGTTGGAAAAGGAACCCTTTCTCATCACAGCAATGCACTTACTTTGTCTGCTAAACATAAGGGGGGGGGGGGGGGGGAGAGAAATTTTCACTATATGATCAATGGAGCTCCACCTTAACACCAGAACCCCTGACCCAGGAACCATGAATTTCACAACTATGGTAGAGAGCTCAGTGCTTATTACAATTATGCTAACAGTTTGACTGCTTGGTGTTCAAGTGTAAAGAAAAAGATTTATAAAAACTGCAATAATTTTGATGGTTTTAGCCGCCCCATCCCTTAGACACTGGGGGGGGGGGGGGGGGGGGGGGGCTTGGAATTTATTATTTTTGTTCCCCATTACCCATAGATGCTACGTAGCAAAATTAATTGAAATTAGTTCAGCAGTCCCAGAGAAGACAATGAAAAAGTTCAGAAGTTTACAACCAACAGATCACACACACACACACACACACACAAAAAACAGATAGATATGGTCACCTAAGTGACTCAGGTGACCTAAAAATAGTTTCCGTTTCAAAAAGTAACAAATTAATCCAGCTATGCCATTACCATGCCATTGGGTGGGAAGGGGTGGGGGTCATTAGGATCAGAGTTGAAAAAGTTTTGGAGCGAAGTGTGCTACATGGCCTTATTAAAGTTGATTTCCTTTGCTGAACCTTAGGTATCAACATGTGTTACTAATATGTTCACTTGCTGGAATACATACAGTAAAACTCGGTTAAAGTAAAGTCCTGAGGACCTGTGAATTTACTTCGTTATATACCTAATTATCTGTATAATGAATTCCTTAAAGTTTATGTAGGGAATCATCTTCGCTAGCCAAGGGTTTCTGATACGCTACTCTCCTCATAAATGCTTATGAGGAGAGTAGCGTATCAGAAACCCTTGGCTAGCGAAGATGATAGGGAATTCGCAATATGATTTTTTTCCTTTGAGTATGACTACAAAATGTATTTTTGGAAGTATTAAATACAAAAGTAACCTCAGATTTCAAAAGTTCTTTGATGAATTTCAAATATAAAATACTTTAAAAAATGTCAAATCAATATTTTTAGGATGAGATCTTTAAAATTTCATTATAAAAGATGTAAATTTAGTTTTTTTAACCTCATGGAGACACAAAATCAGTTCGCTATATCCGTAAATTCCCTAAATTGAGTTCGTTATATCTGTAAACTCTTTTTTCTTTCTTAAAAATTGTTAAGGATTTTGCCGGGGATTAAACTTCGCTGTATCCATGAATTCGCTATATCCGTGTTCGTATTAAACGAGTTTTACTGTACACTGCAATAATTTGAGTGTTTCACATTTTGCACCTTGGATAAGGAATACTTCACAGTGTATGGGTATGCCTTTTTTCCTATTAGTAACCTGAAAACACTTTGTCCGTGGAAATTTCTTTTGGAACCATGAGATACATTGTTAATCTTATATATTAAAATTGCGGTTGGGGTCACATAATACAAAGGTTAACATTTGCAATGGCTCTAAGCAAATGATCTGAGCCTGCATGCTTGCTTTATTTTTCCCCCATCAGTATCATTCTGACACTAGATTTATTATAATATTCTCAGTCTCTTCAACTATTTTGCAAAAAATCCTAATGAAGTGTCCATTCAAAGTGGTGTAATCTCCTTCTACCTAGTCACATCATTTGAATACCTTGTATGAAAAAGGTTCAATTTTCCTCCCCATATCAACAATTTCAATTTGCAGATTACTAAAATAGACATCCTCATTTCTGTGTCACCTACTAACCAGAAAAATTCAGAGTCATTCCTCTATCCCCAATCATCTGTCACCCTAACAAACTCTATCTTTTGAACCATAAGAGATAATACAGCAGGCATTATGTTGCCTCAATGAGCATCATAACAGATTTCTGTTAAAGCAGGACAATGCCAAATGTTTTGTCCAACAGAATCTGTGTTTTCCCTTAAATGCTACAAAAACTTTTCATGCCGTGCTTTACATACCTACACTATATAAACTGAAATTCATAATCAAATTAGAATTTAACGACCTATCTCTACTTCTTATTCAGTAAGAAAACAAATAATGCTACAAAAGGGTTCAACTTTGATCTGCAGTTAATAAAAATTTACACAAGTCATGCTGAGTGTCATGGACAATTTACATGCTGCCATTAGAGGAATCTGGTAATAAAACACCACTATCCTTAGATGGTGAACTTTGTAATATATGCTCACGTTGCAAAGAATCCTTTTCTTTTACATCACTGTCCATTTTATCAATAGATGACTGGCTATCCACCACTGCATCGTCTGTCGTAGGAACATGAGATTGACTTCCTTCCCCTTGTCCGATAACTGAATCACAAGAACTCTTGTTCTCAGGCCAGTTCTGTGCTGCCTGGGAAACATGTTTTCTGTTCCGGTCAGAACTAGAGACTCCATCCTCCTGTGTGGTTTCATCAATGTCCTCTCCTGTACAGGTCTCTAAATCCTGACTCTGTTCTGTGATCTCATCTTCTTCTCCAGTTTGTTCGAGGTTATCTTGACTGGTGATGGAGGAGCAGCTAGAACTACTTGAAATACTGATGCTGTTCCGGAAATGATCCTCGTCCTCGCTATCTTCCTCCGAGTAAATCTCAGCACCTGGGAATGCATACCTGTTTGGAGGTAGGTACAAATACTGACCATCTGCAAAATATGTATTAAAATTTGTACTGATACATGTCATAAAAATATAATTATCATTAAGAAGATGGATAACAAGAAACCTGCCAAAATGCTCATCTGAGTTGCAGTTCACTACCTACCTAATTAAAGAGATGGATATGTAGATAAATGAAGTTCATTACTGTAATCCTTAAATCTTTAGGGTTCAGAAATTTTTAAATACAGTATATTTTTACTAAATATGAAGTTTACATATCACAGCATTGTAGTTAAAGAAGGTTAGTTATTCTGATGTAGATATTTGTGCCCACTTCAGGGCACTTGATCGTCCAGAATTGGAGTCATGGTCTTAAAGGTCAAGACACATGTACCTATAGCAATTGGTGATGTTTGCCTATTATCATGTAAATTGACTTATTGTGGCCTTGTTGACTTTTTGTACATTCCTGTAAAGTTTGGTATCTTAACAATGATAAGTTGATAATCTGAGACAAGCTGATGTTTATCCACGGTCCCTGTGATATTTCCTAAAAATTTTATGATTTGCGAAACCTTGGATATCTTGACCTCTGTCATCTTCACTACCCCCCCTATATCAATTCACAGTCCCAAGAGCATCTATCTACATGATACATGGATACATCAGGTCATTTTTTGCTCTGCTAAACATGTTAACATGGTGGCCATGGCCTTGTTTGTAATTGAATTCCTAGTACATGTAAAGCCAAATTTACCCAAGCACCATAAGAAGGTTTTGATCAAGGCTACATAAGAATACTTTCAAATAAATGACTAATTGTCTGCTGTGTTTGTGATGACAATATTTAAATTTTTTTTTTCCTATATACATATATCAGCACCTCCATACTCCTAGGTAAAATTTTACTGGTTATCAAGGTATCACCCTATCTCAATCTACATGACAGAAATTTTCTTTCTTTTTTTTGTACAATGGTTTTTGAGATCTCTAAAGACTTTAACCTTCATTTGTCAAAAACAAAACAAAATACTTTTTTTAATTAGTTACCTTCTAAGTACTTGGCAAGACTAACTTTCTTTGGCTGCCACATAGCCCTCAAATCATCTGTTGTAGAATCACAAGTCACAACCTCTTCTGCTTTATCTGCAGTTTCTTTCAAGGAAGATTCTTCACTTTTTAGATTGGAGTCATTGCATTTTAAAGCAGAATTTGCAGATGTCACAGTTGGACAATCTTCACAAGTTGAACTTTCGGGCTTTTCTTCACCAGCTGTAGCTTCATTTTCTTGCTTGCCCTCATTACCCCCTGGAGCATCACGGAGTTGACCTTGACCTGTATCAATGTGACCCTGCACATCATTTTCCTCCGTCTTATTCTGTGCTTCATTGGAATCTTCTCTATCCTTGTCCGTTTTGTCCTCTGCTGTAGTTTCCGTGTCAATGTTCTGTGGTGAGGGGACAGGAGAAGGTGTGCGTAACTGATCCCTTGTGATCTCAGTCATAACTGGAGAAAAATCTGCCAACACCTGGAACCCTTCCTCCAGTCGCTTGCAAAGCTCACTGATAATGACATCACAGTCACCTAACAGCTCAATGTCAAAGTTCAAATGCTTTAACGGTTCTCTGTTGATAAGGATCTGAGGCACTTTTTGAGGTAGAGAATCTGAAAAGTCAAACATGACAATAAATTTAACACACAGTATTAAAATCACAAGAGAAGTGTCTGTACAGATCATACACAATAATAAAGTGCTGTATAAAGTTTCTACATTGCCTGAAATTTTTTCCATCTTTTTAAAACAAAACCTGTATGCAGACTACAATTCTACATTTAGTTTATAATTCACTATATGGTATACCTTATATTATTCATTCATTATTTAAATTTATTTCAATACATTTCTAATAAATTGGCTTATTCTGCCAATGAAATTGCAAAAAGAAAATATATACTTCATCAAAATTAGAACTATATATAGCTATTCCAACAAGTCATCTCAACTAAAAAAAAATTCAGATAAATTCAGATTTTGGCTTAAAGAAAAGATATTACTAGGAATGAGAGCGACAGGTCGGACTTTGAGAGAAGACCCAATCACGATGAGGAGGTCACAGTTCTGCTTATCTTCTGCCATCTGCTGGTGAAACTCTTCTGGTAAACTTTCCCCAAAAAATACAATGTCTGGTTTCATTATGGCAAGCTCTGTTCCTTCAGGGCAGACTGGGCACTTTGGTATGACCTGCAACAAAACAAAAAATCGCCTTTAAGAAAATTAAATATGTACAATTTTAAACTGTGTAGTAGGGGGACATCACAAATCATCAGATCTGAGTAGGGTTGTCATCTGAGGACCCTTACACCCAAAGGTGACAACCCTACTTAGATGTGATAATTTGTGATGTCTCCCTATTAAACAGTCCATAATGGATTTATTATCCTAAAGATTTCAGATTTTATGCAAGAGCCCTAAGGGCCTTAATGATCACCTGAATATACTGTTAATCACTTTTTATTTGCAAGAACGTTATTTTCGCGTAATTACCCTGGTATCATCGTCGGAAATCCACGGGTGATCTCGTCTTTACGCATCACCCGTGGGCAAACTCGCTGAAATATCGCCATAAAATATGCTAATTTGTTGATTAATCAAAAAGTTGGAACTCTTAAATTTTGAAAATACGTTTATTAGTTTGCTATTTATGGTAAACATTTTGACGCTTGTTAAAACGAGCGAAGTTTGTTTTAAAACGATTAAAGTCAATTTGCACAGGTCACTGACATTAAATACCAGTCAGAAATTGTAAAGGAGTATCTTTTTCAAACTGCAAAATGCACCGGTGAGTGGATTTATTAGCAATCGGTGTGTTAACTAGGGCCTGTTAACTAGGGAATAGTTTTGGCATTGCCGAGCATACATACATAACCTGAACTTTAATTCATTGATTTGCCATCGCGACTCTGTTCAGCAGCCAATCAAATGACCCACACATATTAATTACATACGACGATTTTTCGGCGAGTTTGCCCATGGGTGATGAGTAAAGACGAGATCACCCGTTGGTATCTGACGATGGTAATTATGCAAGACAGTCTGCTCACAAAAATTTCATTCTTGCATGTATTTTCATTAGCATAGGATATATAGCAAAAAACCACATTCGTGAAAATCTTTTCTTACCAAATACCTATCTTGGAAAATAAAGTGTCATGAAAATTTGGTGATCTACAGTACTGTGAACATACTTTTTTCCACTGGGACATAATTGCACAGTACCTCAATTTCTGTTCAATCCATTGTAGAAAATTATGCAGATTTCTTGGATTACCTTTTTATGTCTCAAATGCACTTTAAGTATGCTTTGACAAATTTCCAGTGAACATTGGTGACAGCATACATAGTGTAAATTAATCCCATGTGGAAAAATGTATGTTTACAGGAATACAACCCTGAGCAGAGAAAATTTTCAAAGAATTAATTGCATTTACAATATAAGCAATAGATAACTGCCCTTACACCAGGCAGAACCCAGGGACCAGAAACTTCACAACTTTGATAAAGGCACCCTTGGTCATCATATTATCTGCTAAATACCCAGGAACACAAAATATTTCCAAAGAATTAATGTCTTTCACTATACAACCAATAGAGCCCACCCAATAAACAGAACCCCTGACCAAGGGACTCAGTAATTTCCTAAGTTTGAAAGAGGCACCCTTGCTCATTAAGATCATGCACTTAGTTTGTTTGCCAAATATACATTGGGAGAGAAGATTTTCAAAGAATTTATGCATTTTCTCTTTATGATCAATAGAGCCCCATCCTTGCACCAGAAACCCTGGCCCAGGAACCATGAAATTCACAATTTTGGAAGAGGCATCCTTGCTAATCATAATCATGCATTGATACCAAGGAGAGGGAGATTTCAAAGAAATAATGCATTTTCACTATATGATCAATAGAGCCCTGCTCTAACAAGTTAACAACAGAACACCTGACTTATGGGTCAAGGGAAAATTGGTTGTAATTGGTTCAGTGGTTACAGAAAAGAAGCTGAAAAATTTAACACATGACGACAGACGAAAACAGATAACAATAGATAGAAAACAGATAGCAATAGGTTACCTGAGTGACTCAGGGGACCCAAAAATAGAGCATATGATATTCAGGCAAACCTCCTACAACCAACTGCTCTGAAGCCATATTTTGAAATTTGCCAACAGATAACTCTGATATTTATTCTATTATATATGTCTCCACTATCTTGCATGCAAAATATTGTAATCTTAAGGGAGACAAAAAAGCTGATAAAATTTCCTATATGCTGGTGTACTTTCAAAATTACAACATGAAATACAGTATAAATAAATGTATTATGAAGGAATTAAAATTTTTGCTGAAAATTTGTTGAACCTGATACAGCTTTTGTGTAATTTTCACTCTGGTAAGAAATTTATATACTGCATGAAAAGGTAAAAAAAAGATCAAAAGAAATATATATGTAATGGGGCATATCATGTCAAGCACCTGCTGTGGGAACAAATAGCACAAAAAACATTGATCTGCCTGTTCTGCACAAAGACCTGTACCTGGTTAAATATATCCTCTCTGACGTCATCTGCCTCAACCTTGTGCTTACAAGCCATACAAGTTGCTCTTGCAAAAGAACCTAAAGAAATAAAATCAACATCATTTGTTTTGTTTTTTTTTCTTCTAGCTTAAACTTTAAAAAATAAAAAAACTTTCCAATCTGTTTATTTTTCATTATCTTTGTTCACTTTTCTTGAACTACTTTTTTTGGGGGTGTGTGGCACTCAAAAGTAGAACATTCTAAAATTCAGTATATGGAATTACAGAGCTTTATTTGTCTATGACATTCCTTTTAATTGGAGTATTTGATGTTTGAAGGTAAAATTTATATTCCTTGCAGTACTGGTCAAGCAAAGTGAACTTAAATCAGCAATTTTTTCTTCGAAATCTCACCATGACACTGTATCACATTCTGGATTCCAGCAACCTGCTCCAATGTGTCGATGTTCTGTGTGTAATTTCGGAGTAATTGTCCATGCCTCTCTAACAGTCGAATAAACTTGTGTGACTTTGATGGTTCAAACTGACCAGGGTATATTTCCTTCAATAAAATTTACATATTTCAAGCATCGTGTAACGGAATTACGGATATAACTACCACAGTTTTCAATCACCTGCTTATCCATATAATGTAAAAAGCAATTATTGTCATGTAGATTTTGTGAAAGCAAACCTTTGCAAATTTGAAAAATGGTCTCTGGTCTTTTATAAAGAAATTGATATCAAACATTGCTTGAGGATCAGGTAGGTTTGGAAAATCCACAGCTAATCTGGCATAGATACCATCTCGCGACCTGAAATCTGGGATACCACAGGATACAGATACCTGAAACATTATTATTCAAAAATGACTAATAATTATAAATGCTAACTATAAAAAAAAATTACCAAATTCTATACCATTTCTACAATGTAGATGCATTAACATTCCTGATCTACTTTTGGTAATGTTAAGAAAATTGCTTTTGTTCTATAAAGCAGGACTAGAAAATGAAACAGCAGATGATAATTTGATAAGTTTAACTAAGAACATGTTTGTACCCCTGCTCCTGTGAGTACTACAATCTTCTGACAAGATTTAATAAGATTTATAGCATGATCTAGCGTATGATACTCCTCCAGGCGATTCCTCTTGGGTGGCTCAGACATGAGATGTATTATAATCTCCCACAACGAGAAGTCATCCATGTGATCAATTTCAACATCTCTGGAAATAAGATCCCTTAAAATAACTCTTGGATTCTGACCAAGCATCATCTGACGTTGTATCCAGGCCATGGTACCTGAAACATAAAAACTTAAGGTGCAATGTGGAATAAAACAAAACTATAAATAAAATTGAAACCATTCAAAGTTTGATGAAATCAACTTGATCAAAAATGTGTAATTTTTACAAATATTTACAGATTGTTATTGTGAGAAATGTTTTCAGCTCTACAAATCACACACTTAAAATTAAATGTTTAAAAATTTTGTTCTTGGCAACAAAAATGACTAACACATTGCTGAGGAGATGTGATATTACTTTTAATATCTGTATGTTTTATCATATTATATATATTGAAGTACTGTCTTTTTTTAACTGAGAATTCCAGGAAATGTTTTACATCTACCAAAAATAATCCACTTTAAAATTATTGCAACCTGTAAATTTTAATTATATATTACAGATATAACCATTTTATCCAAAAACGGACTTTCTAGCAAAATGTAATCTTTAATCCTGAACATGATCTAATCTATAAAATTATACTATTTAAAGAAATTGAGAAGAAATGTGGATGAGTGTTTCTGTTTCAAAACTGCTGAAAATTACTGTCTTTTAATTATGAAGGCCTTATGTGCAGTCCAGCACAAAAATTCCATAGATAATAAATATTTGGCATTCAAAAGACAGAAATGGAAATATTAATCCAAAGCTAAATGCTATATAAAGAAAGGTAATACCAGGGCTCTCACACCACTTTTTGGGACTGGGGCTGGGACTGTAAGAATTGGGAAAATTAGCGACCTTTCTGGGAATTTTGGGAAAAATCATTAATTATAGACATTTTACATTAAAATCATTACATACATGTATTGGTTTTCTGGTGTTTGTTATCAACTAAATTTCTGCAATATAGAGGAATACGAATAACAAGTTTAGTAATTACATATTTTACTAAATGTTCTTTAATTTTTGTGGAAGTGAAAATTGAGAAAAATAATACATTCAATTGGGAAAAAAGGTACCTTAATTTTTTGAATCTGCAATGGTAATTATACAGAACCGAGAGCCCCTGAATACTAGGTTATAACCTGGCTAACACATTTAAACATGCAAATCTACATGTCAGTTAATGGAGGAACCCCAGATCCCCTTCTACTTTTTAAATGTCCCCTGCTACTTTGATTCTTAGGGACAACCCTGTACACTGCAGTGACTTATTTTAATAGATGATTGTAAATAGGGCTGTATTGATATATCCCTGCACAATACAGAGCATATTGCAATACTTGAGCCACAATTCAATAATTCCAATATGATACATTTTAATATAGAGGAAACAAATCATAAGGTTGAAGAAAAGATACATGTATAATAATAAAGAGGGCAAGTCTTTATAAATACACAATTTAATTAATATATTTATTGGACTAAATCAGAAAACTACTTGCATTTTTATATAAAATATGGTTCTAATGAATAAAACATTGCAGATTTTAAGATTAATCAAGTCAATGTTATAATTTCAATGATTTCTTTATATAAACACACAACAAGATCAAGTATGTAAAGACTTAAGCAACATTATTTAATAAAGAATATAGGGGGTCTGATCATTACATAAAAAAAATAAATTTTGATCGACATGTATGAACCCAAACTATTAAAATCATGTGCTATGAACACTGCCAAAACATTTTTGCTAGTTGTGATATGCAAGCAATTGACCAAATGCTTCAAAAAGTTGTAGGGCTTTGACAAGTTTTTGTCAGGATGCAATTCTTTTACAAAACTACTATTTTTATTTCTCCATTGTGTATGTAAAAATAATACAGTAAGGTCAAGCCTGATTGTATTAACAAACCTGATTAAAAATGTACTGAACTGAAATCTAGGCAATGAATCAAACATTGAATTGAGTGTTTTTATTGAACATCAGTGAATTGTTTCAGACAGCTGTTATCATTTTTTTTATTTATTTACCTGGTGATGATTTCCATGCTCTCTCACTCAAGCCTGATATATCACTTATATCACTGTCGGAGTCCCCATCGTTAGTTTTATCACCCAGCTCCAGGCAGTCAGGTAACTTGAATTCATAAAAGACAGATCAGCATTTAAATTTACAGAAAGGATAACATTGACAAGTTACTTTGTAGCATATATTTTGCAATCATTACCTCCACTGACTCAATTACTTTGTGAGATCCACTTTCTGAAATAAAATAAATACAATACTATAATATTGTTTACATTTCTACTTTCAGTTTCTCATAAGAAACGTGACAAAGGGAGAGAATAATTTTTGGAATAACTTTACCACTAGATGTTGATGGCATATCCTCATTTCCTGTCGATTTAGCTGTAGCACAATTATTGTTGGAAGAACATGCTTGTTTAAGATCACAATCATTTTCTTCAGTGTCAAGTTTTAACCTTTTTGTTGGAATTTCGACCACTTCATCTTTCACATCTTCCGCCATTGCAAAGTTCTCAAAGATGCGCTGCGCAGGGGGAGCATTTATTGTAACGTATTTTAAATTTTAAAATGTACAATCTACAAAACCAACCAGACTAATTTTCTCAATTTTCTTTTTTTTATAATTTTATATCTTAAAATGAAATATCTTTCAGTTTCATCTATTTTATCAGGTTTTGATGCAGAATATATTGATCTAAACATTCAATGACTACTCCTAAGTTAAAGTGAAAGTAGAGATGGAGAATGTTTTTGATTATGAGAGGAATAAAGAAGACGATCTTTATAATATTCTTGGATGTAGCGAACATTCTACGGTGGGTATCAAAGCAGCTAAAAGTATGTAAATAAAACGAGACGTGAAGTGAAAACTAGAACACTGAATCTAGCTATCAATTTTGTGCAAAATTTGAACAAAATATTTCATATTTGTAACATTTTTAACAAATAGATGACATACTACCTACCCAAACTAAAGACATAAATCTTAATCTCTGTCCAGAGCAATATCACCTACATTTGATTTATAAAATCATACATATAAAATTATGCTGGTTCTCTCTACACAGTGAGTGTTGTTACTCTTTATGAGAATTAATTAAAGTATTGTCTTTGTCATCATATTGAAATTATTGTTACCTAAAATATTGAAGAAGTAGAAAAATGTTGTATTTAAACTAGTTAAATTAATTGTATTTTATTTAAATTCACATGCCTATAATATGTATTATATATGAATTAGAAAGTAAGTCAATGGTGTTTGAAGCATTATGATATTTATTCTCTTTAGAGAAGTGGACAGGCAAAAGCCTGTCCACTTCTCTAAAGAGAATATATGATATTATGAAAAAAAAAATGTAAATACACGTTAATATTTCAATTGTCAGCAGGGGTGTAAAAATTATTTTGTTATACATTCCAGCCCTAAATTTGCTATATCCCTTTTTGTTTTTGTATTTGTTGCAACAGGGGATATTTAATTAGTAATTTTTCATATTGAGATGTTTATACCCATTGAAATTATGTTTGTGAATTTCTAGCAATCCATGAATATTGCACATTGTAAATTAAAGTAAGTTTACAGTATGCAGAACCCAGAGGGAATCAGAGTTATCAAAGGTCATTATATCTCTTTTTTGATAGACTGAACAAATCTTGACAGAATACAAAGCAAGAGTTTTAGATCTCCATCCAGACAAGAATCCAGATGATCCACAGGCAGGTAAGAGTCTATAATTAGGAACAAAACCCACAGTTGTTCTACAGTACTATTGAATTACACTAGTGTTTTATTATCAATACTGAAAAGGTATTTTTGTTCAAGCTCAAAAGTTTGCACGCCTGGCTCAAGCAAAAGATATTTTAACTGATCCTGAGAAAAGGCAAGCATACGATACTTGGAATAACTCTGGAATCACTGTTCCATTTGAAAAATGGCAGGCACTGCGTGATGCAACGAAGACGGTAAGTTTTCAGCAAAAGTTCCTTTGGGTATGTAATATGAATTCATTTGATAAAGTTGACTTGAACTTGAACTTGACATCTTTTATAGTGAATTGATATTTTAAAATCTGTTTTTCCATTCCCATTAGGCTAAACTAAATAATGATCATTGTCGTGTAAATACTTCATATTTTTTAAATTTTGGCACAGTTTCAAGGGAGAAAACACAGGTTTTTAAATCTTCTCATAAACCTGGATTGTTTGTAGACATTACACTGGGCATCAGTCAAACCCCAGCCTACAATACAATCTCAGGAACACATGACAACAACCAGTGTACACCCTTCTTCTTCTGATGATCTTGACTCGTCACCGTTCAAAGTAAAAGAGCCCATCTCACATGCTGCAGTCTACAGCAGTAAGTATCAGTATCAACTTCTCATTGTTTATTTCAACCTTGATCAGTCTGATTAAAATCAGATCTGATTTTAATCAGATTGAACCTTAATGTGCTTTACATGGAGCATGTTGAAACTTGGGGATTCCTAGTCTGTGTTGTTACGGAGTGACGTAATATTGACATTTCTGTTAAGCTTCTTGTTGATAGTTGAAGCTCTGCCTACCAGTCACCAAAAAAAGATATAATGTATCAAGTAGCCAATCAAAAATCAAACAGTCAGAGAATAAAACACATTTCACATAAACTGAACACCTTCCTTCATACTATGTTAAGATTTTTTAGTATGACACATATAGTTGCACAATTTTAAAATTTATGGTGAAGAGAGAATTGATGCTGTACATGCATATGTATTTCTTGACTTCTTTATTTTGATATTTGTAAGATGATGCACAAATAATACAAGTTTTGTGGAATGTAGATGTATATATTATAGCTTTGCAATCAAATATTTTGGAAAGACTTCAAACTTTAATAATAAAATTCAATCTTTCATATTCCCGATATTTGATCAAATACATGTATCATCCTGAACAAGTATCAGGAGCCTGGAAAGATCAAATTTTTAAGAAAATAAGAAGAGTGTGAAAATATCAAATTTTAATAAGGGGTTGATGGAGCTTCAAGAGTGAAGCAATTGGAAATATATGTCACTTTGTTTGTCACCAATGCTAGATTGTAAGGTGGAGCTTCAACTTCCAAAAAGAAGCAAATCAGAAATCAATAACATCACTCCGTACGAAACAAACAAGCATTCCCCAAGCTTTAATGCATTTCATTGTAAGTTGGTTAAGTACTAATATACATTTAAGAAATAATTCCCGTGTTGGAGGAATTGTTTGAGAATATACCCTGATAGTCGAGAGATTTTGTTGGCAAATATAAACTGAGCCCAAAGGGTGAGGTTTTTATTTGCCAAAAAATCTAGAGACTAAGGGGTGTATTCTCCAAAATTTCCGCCAACGAGGGAATTATTTCTATTCTGCTACAGCGAACATTTGAATTTCTCATTAGAGAAATGCGGAAACTGGGACATCATCAGAAGTGTCTTATGATGTCACAATTGAATACTACTCTTCCTTCATTTGTATTTCATTTAGAAAAAGTATGATGTATTCCAAAGCCGTAGTAATTTTTTTCCCACCAATTTGCATCACAACCAAAAGATAATCTCTTTCCTTTTCCTAGTGAACACCTATTTGTCCTATTTGTGGTAACTAGCATAAGCATATAGCTGATGCTGTCTTGATGAAACATATTTGCAGGTTCCCTAAAGTTTCTAGATCTATAGTGATCTGTTGGTTCCTTCATCTGTCTGTCCAATATTGCTTGTCAGGAGAACATTTTCTCTCCCCTTCCCTCAGTCTGGCTCATTTTCACCCATACTTTGCTCATGGGTAAGGGGTATGCAGCGACATTTAACCAATTTCTAGATCAAAGGTCAAGGTCTCTGTTTAAAATCCTTGTCTGGAGCATATTTTCTCTCCCCTTGTCTCATACTTCAGCCTTGGGCTAAGGGTGTGCAGTGACCTTGAAGAAAATTTTTAGGTCATAGGTCAAACCAGATTTCTAGAACCCATGTCAGCAGCATATTTTCTTTCCCCTTAGCCCTATCTGACTCACACCTCACCTACAGAGAGCTTGTGGCTAGAGGGTGTGCAGTGACCTTAAACAATTTTTTTTTATCAAAGGTTAAATCAAATACCTCTGTGTAAAAATCTTTGTCAGTGGCACATTTTTCTCTCTTTGGCCCATTCTTAGAATATGCAATGACTCTGAATGAACTTTCTAGATCAAAGTCCAAGATAAATGAAAAAAAAAACAACTCTGTTTTAATTCCTTGTTCAGAGGGTATTTTCTCTCCCCTTGGTCCTATCTGGCTCAAACTTTACCCAAAGAGAAATCAGAGAATAAGGATATGCAATGACCTTGAACAAAGTTTTAAGATAACTGGTCAAGGTCAAAACAGATCTCTGTATGATATTCTTACCATGAGCATATTTCCTCTCCTAGGCCCCATCTGGTTCATGCCTCACCCAAAGAGTAAAGAGTCCACAAGTAAATGTGTAAGTCAAAGGTCAAACTCCACAGTCCTTTACAAGTCTCTTTCATCCAAATGTCTTTTGCTGAAAGCTGGGCCTGTTGTGCTTTAATGTTTTAGATTTTTTAGATTTTTCCTGTTTCAGTTACTTGCAAAAAAGTTTCATTGAGAGCAAATAAGTTTAATTTTGTTCTTTGTAGATCAGAATGTTCAGTGGGAGAGAGATCCTCCATCAGACATCTTGAAAAAGTTTAGAAATTATGAAATCTGAAGGAGAGAAAAAATTCTGTGTGTACATGTATTGGAGGGAAGTTATTCTTCTTGAAGTTGAATATATACAAAAGGATCATATACAGATTTATTTCAAATTATGTCTCAGTATTAATTTAAGCACTGCATGTGCTTGTTTAAATGAGGTCCAACAAAGGTTGAAAGTCTCTCGTTATCAGATGGAAATTTTTCCAGATAGAACTATATGTACACCTTGTATTGAAATATTTGGTATTGTCAGTGTATTGTTAAATATATTATTTATTGTTGTGCTCTTTTTTGTTCATTTGTTTGCTTTCTTTCTTTTTTACAAGTGTACGCAGTTGATAAATGAAGAAAGAGTTGAAGGAAAGAATGTTGGCCAAAAGAAAACATCTAATGTTTTTATTTCTTGTAGGGAGCTCATGATCAAACAAGCATACACTATTTTGTAATTTTGCTTAAGAACTCGAGCAACTAAAATATTATCACCAAATTAAAGTTTACAGTTTGTTGACAAAATAAAAAAGGACTTTTGAAATAATTGCCTATATGACACATATTTGATATCATGGATTTTTTTCTTATAAATTACAGCTCTGTTAATTATTATATCCATAAAAATTTATCCAAGTGATGCTTTGGCAAACATATACTTTCCAAGTGAAATTCTCATTCCAAAGAATCTCCAGAATTGTGTACTTACATTGTACATGTATATTTTGTTAAATTTATAATTATTGGTGCATTATCTGTTGTGATACACATATATATAAAGTTGACCAGTATTAAAATATTAAAAAGATAAAGACCACCTTTTTTTTGTTTAAGTTTATACAGTCACCTCAACAAAGTTTGAGAAAGTTTATGCTATACACCCAAATGTGGCATTCAAGTTTCAAGTTTGGTGCAAGACCATTGATAAATATTTCATTTATTAATTTTTTTTCCCTTTAAGATTCCTTTGTAGTTTGTAATATTTTAAATCTCCATCTTCTCATGAACTACCACCATTGAGCTAAACAACTTATTGATCATGTTCAGTTTTGCATAAGTTTTATATATACCAATTGTTTACAAAACTAGTTTACATTGTGGTCTTGAAAACATTTTTACAGACAGCAATTATGTACAGATACACAAATTTATCATAGGATATGATAGATAGAGGTATTATAAACATACAATATTAACATACATAATATAAAACTGAACTGGATCAATGAAGTTTTTGTTGCCTTGAAATCAATGAGAAGACTGAAAATAATGTCTTAAATATGCTGATTTAAATAATTGTAACAATGGGTAAAAGACCAGAACCCCTGACCCAGGGGCTATGAATTTCCAAAATTTGGAAGAGGTACTCTTGCTCATCATAACCATGCACTTAGTTTGCTAAATACCCAGGGGCAAAGAAGATTTTCAAAGAAATGATGAATTTTTATTGTGTAATGAATAGAGCCCTTCTCTATCACTAGAATCCCTGTCCCAGGGGCTATGAATTTCACAATTTTGGAAGAAGCACCCTTTTTCACATAACCAGCAAATAGTTTGTCTGCTGAATTTACCCAGGGGCAGAGGAGAAGATTAAAAAATAATTTAAGCATTTTCACTACATTATCAATAGAGTCCTGTCCTAACACTGGAACCCCTGATCAGGGACAAGATACTTTTTCAATAACAATATTACTCACTTTTATGTGCGTGGTGATAATAAGCCTTTTGATCCATGTCATGGATAAATTTTGGATCTGGTTAACCAAATAATTTGAATTTTGATTTGAATCTTTGAGGTGTTGGTTTCCAGTTTTATATTTACAGTCAAACCTCATCATCTTGAACTCAATGGGGCAGAGAAAAAAAACTTCCAGATATCCAAGGATTTGAGATATCAAGAGTAAAATACTTAAAGAATATGTGGTTGGGACTTCCAAATCACTTTGACATATCCATGGTATTCAAGATATTGGTGTCCAAGATTTTGAAGTTCAATTGTATATTACAAAAGAAAGCTTTCTTGTAAGTTGTCATTTGTTTCAAAGAAACGGGGGTTCCCTTAGATCAGAGTTTTAAGAATTTTGTGATCTTACCCTAACTGACATTTTTCTTTTAATACTTACCTCCTTTTTAAAGAAAACACAACTCTTCAAAGAGCCAAACTTAAGATTTTTATTTTAAAGATGATTTCACGAAAGAACAAGTCTCAATAAGGCTTATCTGTGGTCCCCGGTTACTCGTCAAATTTCGAACATTTATTAAAATTTTTAAAAATTAAATTTTATTATTAACTAATGTCTTTATTATTTGAATCATCATCTAAGAATGTCTAACAATAGATATAGGCAGCATATGAAGCTGCGCGTTGAAGGTAGGGTCCTTCGATTTTCATGAATATCAAAAGAAATCAGTGACAGGTACACACTTCAAAGCTTTCGTAAACACCGAGCACAGGTTTGTTCAGAGTCGAGTTTGAAATATAATGTGTATATTATATGTGTAAAGGTTGAGTGAAAATATCTTTGTTGAACAACCTTGTGCTCTATGTTTTCTAATTAAAAGTATTATGATTTTGAATCTCTTCGTTGACTTCATTTACATGCGATTAACCTCTTTATGACCTGTTTAGAATCATAGCAAGCCACGTGGATTTGTATCGTTACGGGTAAATGCCCCCAGTAAACGTGCTAGTTCTCAGTTGAAACATACTCAGTTTTATATCGATCAGCATGGACTTGTTTGGTTCATCTTGTTATAGCTTTTATTGCCAAAGTTTTGTAAATAGAAAATTGTATTTGTAGTTAATTGTGAATCTTGAACATATAATATTCGTCTTTGAACGAAAAATATAATTCCAAGATCTTCTTTTTATAGTATCTAATCTAAATGTCTCCGCCCATTTCCATGTAATAGAGAAACCGTAGTCTGATCGGGTGAAAATGTTCCGGGATTTTTTAGTGCGATAGGTGTTAAAAATAGGCTTGTATTTTTTTATATGTTTAATTATTCATTATAAATACACAATGTTTTAATTAGAAATACTTCGTTATACACAATGAAAACAATCAAAATACCGTACGCTAATATTTAACCGGTAAACCAAGGGTGTAAAAAGGGACCACACTACTATACTTAAGTAGAATACTCCTTTGCCTGGCAGTGTTTGAAAAGCAAAATCAAAGTAACAAGCTAAAGAAATATCAGCAATTAGATCATAGCTTGAATGGCATTCATTGTTAATTCATATTTGGCAATTCTTGGAACATCATCCTGATATTTTTTCTTGTTTACAAAATTCTTAAAATATTAAAATAATAAAAACAATGTATGTAATGTTATATATTTATATTCCTACTGAAATAAAAAATGAAAATGAGGTCTATGATATTTCACATGAAATACAAAACTGATGATGAGTAAACATTTACACATTCAACTGGCAGACCATTGCTTGCACCAAGTTTTTCACAGATAAAATTTGCTCACAATTCACAAAGAATGCTTTTCTGATGTTTTTGTCAACTAATAATTTCATATACACCATCAATAGTTCTCATCTCTTCTTGAATCCATATTTCTTTCTTTCATAAAACAGATCTGTCTTTGCACTTCCCAGATTCACTATCTTTGGACATCCATCTCTCTAAAAGAGAAGTAAACTGTACATTAATTATATTATTAATTAGACTTGACATACATGTACGTTCCAACAATTAGTGTTTACTGACATATCTTTATTCAAAATCTAACACTTAGCAGGTAGGCTAGCTGTCTGTTCAATTGAGATACTAGTAGATATCTACCACCTAGCTGCTAGGTTAGTTCCTACGATCTTGAATGCAGCCCTGATGATTCCAGATATCAAGGTTAAAATATGAAGAAAAAGTCATCGGGACTTTTAACTCTCCTCAACATATCTATGGTATTTACAATATTGATGTTTGAGATACTGAAGTTCAACTGAATATGTAAAGCATATATCTGTATGTACATGTGTCTGTACTCACATCTTTCTCCATTATGGTACACTCCTTGCAGTAGTAAGCATCTGAAACCCCAGGCCCTCCACAAATCACACAACGACCTTGGTAGGAGCCATAATTACACTCATCACAGATCCGCACCAATGTGCATGGCCTGACATATGAATCACATATTACACATTTACCATCACCTACAAAACAAAATGCTTTTGTGGAAAACTGTAAACAACATTTCTTCCTACTTTCCTAGGATTATTATATACCATATAAGTTTCAATATCCAATCACATTCATATCATATGTATGAAGTTTGTAGTACATGTATTAATCTTTATAACATTCAAATTCAACTTCAAGTAATTAAGATGCAAACAAAAACTTACATTTTTCACAGAGTCTACCAATAGCTGAAAAAGAAAGCATAACAATCAATAGGTTTATTTGTACAATGTTTCAAGAAAAATTATTAATTTTCAATGAAAGTCAAGAAAAAACAAGATGTGTTTGTGAAACACTGATGCCCCTGTATGGCAGCTTATGGCGAAGGTTAAAGTTTCTCAAATGCAAGTCAAAATCCAGGCCAAAAGAAAAAAATGTTGGTACCCAAAGAAAGGTTTTGTCTCGAGGAATATACCTGTGAAATTTGAAAGCCATAGCTGCAACTGTTCAAAAGTTATGGCGAAGGTTAAAGTTTATAAAAGTAAGTAAAACGTCAAGGTCAAGGTGGTTGGTATCCAAGAAAAGGTCTTGTCACAAGGATTGCATATGTGAATTATGAAAGCCCTAGCTCCAACCATTCAAAAGTTATGGCCAAGGTTAAAGTTTTTCAAAAGTAGGTCAAACTCCTAGGTCAAGGTCAAAAGGTCAAAGAGGTTGATATCCAGAGGAAGGTCTTGTCACAAGGAATACAGGTGTGAAGTTTGAAACCCCAAGCACCAACTGTTCGAAAGTTATGGCCAAGGTTAAAGTTTTTCAAAAGTAGGTCAAACTCCTAGGTCAAGGATACTATGGATATTTGACTGGATAACAGTTATTATAGCACCTGACTACATGTGCAGTAATGCAGGGGTCCGGGCAGACAGAACATTCTGTAACTGAAATGATTTGTCCTAGGTACCTGGATCACGATAGAATTTGTTCAATGTGTAACTTTCAATGTACCGGGTAGTCAAATAAACAGGGGCAGATAATTCTAATCTATGTGTATTCTACAAACCATTCAGGGAAATGACATGGCATATAAATAGAACATTGTGATGATGTGTGATTTTTTTCTCCCTTTTCCTTGTTTTCTGTTTGTTTGTTTGGTTTTGTGTGGTAAAGGGGAGAGAAGGCATATACAAGCTCAAAAAGGTTTGTTATGATAAAATTCGTGATTATTTTCAGTGCAACTCCTTTTGTATACTCCAAAATACTGTTGGAGCAAATCACTCCGTTTTGCTACTTTCAACTATATGGGACATATTCTAACTGTGATATGTGCTGATTGAGTAACTGTCCACCATCTTGTGTGGATAAATATGATTTCTTCTCATTGTGCTGAATTATTACCAATCAATTTATATCATGTTTGTCAGAACTGGTCTTCTTTGTTACTTCATTCAAGAAGTAACTGTGTGGTCACAAATAATGTGGCGATCAGGCGGGTTCAATCACCAGTGGCCAGATAGCTCAGTTGGTAGCGTACCTGACTGGAAACTGGTCTGGTCTGCCACATTTTTCTCCTCTCCTGTTACATTTGGTGCCAAGCCATGCCCTGGAAGTGACAGGTGAAAGACCTGGCAAGGAAGGGCCTGGATTGATGTCTTCGGTGGCCGAGGCCTTTAAGGAGGGAGGAATGTGGCAGTCAGATGGGTTCGATCATTGGTGGTCAGATAGCTCAGTTGGTAGAGCACCTGACTGGAGACTGGTCTGGTCCGTCACGTTTTTCTCCTCTACTGTTACATTCGGTGCGTCGATTTACCCAAATGGACCCAAAATGAAATGCAACCCAAATGGACACAAATGGACCCAAATGGAAATCAAATGCAATTTCAAATATATATATATTATCGTATTATCAAGTTGTTACTTATATAAAATTATGAAAATAATGAACTTACAAATGGAGAATATTAATCATTCTTTTCTATATTTTTTTTCTATTTGTAATTAACTTTTGCATATCATTGAAAAGAAAATTGAAATATATAATATTAAATTTATATAGAAAATATACAGAAGTATTAACTTTCTAATTTAATAACTTATTCTTAATGAACTTAATTTACGCTAAAGGATATAGGTTTATAATTAAATTTATATTGTAGATAGTTATTATGATACTTGATACTTGGTTTTTAATCCGCTAATCTTTTTTTATTCTTTATTGGATAAATTGCTATTTTAAACAATGATATATGTTGTGCATTTCATTAATGCTCCTAAATTTGGAAATTTATTTATTTAAGTAGCATCTTTAAAATACGATAATATATATTTAAAATTCCATTTGGTTTCAATTTGATTTCCATTTGGGTCCGTTTGATTTCCATTTGGGTCCATTTGAGTTTCCATTTGGGTCCATTTGAGTTTCCATTTGGGTCTATTTGTTTCCATTTGGGTCCATTTGGGTAAATCGACGCACCCCTTACATTTGGTGCTGTTGACCAGGATGGTACAGGTACAAGACCTGGCCAGGGAAGAGCCTGGGTTGGTGTCTTCTGGGACTGAGGAGAGAGGAGAGGAATGTGGCGGTCAGACAGGCTTGATGGCAGGTGGCCAGACAGCTAAGAGCTTAGTTGGTAGAGCACCTGACTGGAGATTCAGGAGGCCCGGGTTCGAATCCCGGTCTGGTCTGTCGCATTTTTCTGCTCTTCTGTTACAGAACTTTTAGAACTTTGATTGTAAATGCACTGAAGGAGACATATCAAGCAACGTATTTAACCAGACCTGTTTTAGTGTATATCATGTATATAGCTGTATAGTGAAACCAGTGGATATATGTATAATGTATGTTCTTATCACGAGTCTGATGAAAGAATATCTGATTGAAAAATGGCTGACCTAAAAGAAAACAAAGTTATTAATACATCAAAAATACCTTTTCCGCCTTACATACCTACACCAGGCTGTTTTCTGCAAAAAATAAGATCTGGGTGATGCTTTGCCATGTTCGAAAAACGTTTCGTCTATGTAATATATTTACTTCGAACTTCCATGCAAAACGAAAATCATGTAAAACGCACAGGTAACGAAGACTTTATTGCACTACGTACGAGTTAATATTGAGTTTGATAGTCTCAAATGCGTTTTATTTTAATAAGATTTTTTTCACTACAAGATGCAAGGTGTTTGTTAACATTGATCTGGTGAAAATGAACACGAGTGAGAAGAAAACAGAAGCAACAAATTCCACAGAAGCTGGAGAGACGGAGAACGTGACTTTCAAGTCACTGGTAATTTAGTGTTCAATAATTTCAGGGACGTATTATGTCCCTGATAACTTAGACACATAGGTGAATTTCCGGATTGTTATAAATGTTAAATGTTGTCCGGATTGCTACAAAAAAGATTCTGACACTTTTTTATGTCTGTCAGTCGTCAACACGCATTTATTCAACAGAAAATGGATACAATTTCTTTAGAGGCTCCTTTGAGTTGAATGAGATAAACGAATTCATTCCTTATAATTTAATTTTCATTCATTTAACAGGTTGGGCACACACCACCAAATGGTCATTTATCCCCCGTTTGGTGGTCAATCGCCCATATCGGAGTCGTATTTACTGACCAAATGGTGGTCTTTTTTATTCAAACCCAATTTTTATAAAAATAAAGCAAAGGCGCATTCGTATAGGCCTTGGGGAATTTTAGTAAACATATTCCTCGCACAATTAATACAGTTCGGTCGATTTTCCATGTGTAATTTCTGTGGAACTTCGTAAAAACGATACTACAGCTGTCCGTGACGGCCGAACTTCTTGCTTAATCAATCAAAAAAATATTTTCTTGTGTCTAGTTTAATAAAAATTCTATTTAGACCAGTGATATAACTCTTTAGAAGTTAACTTTCAATCGATCTTTGGATCTTCGTCTAAATAAATCTCTATAGAATCATGTTAAACACAAGCTCCTCATACTTTACTGGTATGGTGGGCACTTATTGCTATAATATTCATTTTTTCTACATTTGAATGTAACATTTATTCTTTATTTACTTTTAGGATGAAGTTGCGATTTCTGTGTGACCTTTTGTGGTTTAGTATGCATATTTGTGATGAATCTACTATATCTAATCAATGATTTTGAATAAAAGATTTACAAAGTGACAGTTGCAATTATTCTTGTTTTAATTCCAAGAACATCGTTTTGAAGCAATTATTATATCATGATCTCACTGTATATTTTATTTTTATAAAGAATAAAGCCATCGCGTGCAAAATAAAACAGAATAAAAGCAAATTCTTCTCTTTTCTTTTATTTTCTAATTGAAAATTGACACTAATGTGCCTCCGTAGTCAAATCAGACTTTTGACCCGGTTCGGAAAAGATCATCTTTTTTTATTGGTTTAAATTATTTGATTGGTTGCCCGGATGATAAAAATAGAAAGTAAGAAACGCAATCAACAGGTGCAACAACGTTCGGGAAGGAGAGAAAATTTCTTTTTATAGTCAAAACAGAAATGTTGTACTTGTTTACGTTGGTGACGATTTGGTCAAAAAATTGAACGACACTGCGCAAAAAACTCCGCGTTGAATTTCCAATTTTTTTTGTTCATATTACCGATAAATGTCTATATTTTATTCCCCACGAGTTAATATTATGTGCCATTTCACCCCATTCCACAGAATTGAACAAAACGATTTTTCTCTCCCAAATGGTCAGTAAATACCGACTCCGATATGGGCGATTGACCACCAAACGGGGGTTAAATGACCATTTGGTGGTGTGTGCCCAACCTGTTTAATGTAAGAAAAAAAAGATGATTACTCTGAAAAAACGACTTAAATTGTACAAAATTTAAATGTAACATCATGCATATCGATACGTTTTTGAGGCAAGTCATTGTGATGTAGGCAACCCAATTTATTTTTTTTTGTTTGTATGTTGTTTAACGTCCCTCTCAAGAATTTTTCACTCGTATGGAGATGCCACAACTTGCCAGTGGAGGGCTGCAAATTTTGTCCTATACTTTGCACTTACGGCCATTGAAAAGTGAGGGATCTTTTCGTGCCAGCACCTACTGTGACACGGGACCTCGGTTTATACGGTCTCATCCGAAGGACCGGTCTCCACGTCCCACAGTGGGATTTGAACCCGCGACGTAAGAATCAACACCTTAATTCGCGACTCTAGAGCAGACGCTCTAACCACTGCGCCACGCGGGCTCAACCTGATTTATACAGTTTTTTATCCAATCAAATGCCATGTTACAACCAGAATTAGATTATATAATAATAATAATAAAAATATTACAAATGAAAAAAAAAATCCACATATTAAAGAACAAAAATCAACATATTTTTCAACATTTTTTATCACTTCCAATTTACATGCCATATAAACACTAGGAACCCCCTGAATTTTCAGTAGTGTATATGTATATGAGAATTATCTACCCCAGCTTAAATTGCTACATTGCCAACACACAAAATGAACATAATTCATTAGTAGACTGTTTATCAGGATAATATCATTTAAATGATAGCTAGAACATTCTATCAAGGTGTAATCAGTCCATCCCAGGTGCCTTCTAAGAATATTAAAAGGTCATGATACATATCAAAAGTACATGAATTTCTAACATATCATACCTACATTGTGATATCTGGTATCATTTCCCCATTTTGTAAAGTTTTAGAAACTGTCCCTCTACTGGTATATAAAAATACTAAAGATTAGGAAAAAAATCTTGTGAACAAAAGGTTGCCCATGATTCAAGGAAGTTTTCAGTGTTATTACAGCTGCATTGGTAGTAAAAATTCATACAAGATGCAGATCAGGGAGGTGATGTTCTATAAATCTTTTCTATTCACAGTTGGTCAAAATGTTTTATTTGCCCATAATTAGCAAATACACACAAGGTTTCTTCTGTGGTAGCCAATTAGGAAGTCGTGATTGTTGAGTGATGGGAGACATCTGATAAGTTCTGATTGACTATAGATCTGGTCTTGGGATTTGTCATTACACAAAACAAATTCATACAACATAATCTGCTAATTCAATGCCAGTGGATGGAAAATGAATCAAGGCGTATAAATAATAAAGAATTTCCCCATAGTTTGTGGTTGGATATTATTTTTATCAAACAAGTTGTGTGCTTTCTATCCCTGAGCCATGGTGGGTGAGAGGTGTGGCCCATGGGCCTCTTGTATATGAGCATTGTGGTAACATGACTGTTGGTATGAAAATGATATCGTATGACTGATATCCACTATGTAAAGGAGTCAACAAGTGATAAATGAATTTAACAATACAACTTACAATGAAAGAAAAAGAATTAGGTTAAGTTTCATTTAACTTCCTTAATTTCAGGGCATTGTTGATGTTCTCTGTGAGGCCTGTGAACAATTAAAATGGAAAGCTCCAACGAAGATCCAGAGAGAAGCTATTCCAGTTGCTCTGCAAGGTACACCTAAAGCTAAATGTTACAAAAATGATTCAGTTGCATTAAAAACTGCTCAAGTTGCAGATAACAATGTGTCAATATATGTAAAATATTTGCTAGGCAAATGAAATTCAGATGACTATTTGCCCATACCATAAAAGTTTTTATTTTCTTGAGTTATTTGTATTTTGTCATTTAATTTCAACAGATTGGACTCTTTAAAGCATTATACTGTACGTGTATACATAAATTGGCATATTCAAAATATAGCGCAATCACTGGGTATGGAGTTTTTGGCGAAAATATGAATTAGCGCTATACATTTCCATGCAGTATATTGTATTTATAAATGATTTCTTAGCGGTATTCATGAATTAGCGCATCATTGTCTGCACCAAAGCCGCTAAAATATGAAGCCTGCTTTTTTAAGTACACATACAGTATTTATCAAGGCTGCAATTCGGCAGTGACATGAAGAAAGTGTTACAATGTTACATTTCATACAATAAGAGATTAAATCTACAGCATTACTTGTGTACATGCCTGAACATTTGTGTAATATAAATTTTTAAATATCAGTTTATTTTTTACAATTAATGCATTTTAAGCCTTGGATTTTATTATGAACCCATAAAGTTTTCATAGTCTGGTAATCACAAGGTCATTAAGTTTTCAACTTAAAAATAACCTTGACATCTGAATGAAAAGTAAAATTTTGTTTATGTATTTATAATAGGGTCAGATGTGATTGGATTAGCAGAGACTGGTTCAGGAAAAACAGGAGCATTTGCATTACCAATTTTACAGACACTTCTTGATAATCCTCAAAGACTCTATGCTCTTGTCCTAACTCCTACAAGAGAGCTGGCTTTCCAAATTTCTGAACAATTCGAGGCTCTTGGGGCATCAATTGGAATCAAATGTGGTCAGTAGAAATTTGTTCAAGTATTCAGTAAATTGGGTTCAAAAAAGATAAAATACCTTTTAGTTTCATGCAATGCACTGGGTGTTTTAGTGGCAAATAAAGGCATCAAAAATCATGCAACTGCTGATTACTTAACAAGTAGATATAGATGTAGGTAAGATGTATTAGCTTGTGTATTAACATGAACTGTGTTTTTCTTTAGCTGTGATTGTGGGAGGGATTGATATGATGACACAAGCTTTGATGCTGGCTAAAAAACCTCATGTTGTCATAGGTGAGGACCGTATTTTAGAAAAGAATGTTCGGATAATTGTAAAAGTTGTTTTAAACTTTGGCACAAAAGTTAATAATTGCAGCAAGTTAATTTTGCTTGGAGATTTTCTGAGGCAAATGATGTTGAGGTGGTTAGAATTCATAAGTAAATCAACCCGAATGAACTTGAATTTAATAGGAACATTAATAAAGATACATGTACTAATTTCATAAGAATATTTTGTATAAATATTTCATGACTTAATTTTATGTAAATATTTTCTGGATTTTGTTGAAAAAAAAGATTTCTTTTTATACTGTTTCCCAACAGCAACTCCAGGAAGATTAGTTGACCATCTAGAAAACACAAAGGGATTCAACTTAAGGTCTCTCAAATATTTGGTAAGAAAAATTATTAGATTTTCCTTAGAAAGGTTATGTGTACTGGTGTACTTAGCATTTAAACAACAAGTGTTTTCTCTACAAAAGTGTTTTCTTTGTGTAATTTGTTTTAAGAATACCTCTTAACTCCTTTTTAATGTGCATGTACTGTGTGTTTTCAACAGGTCATGGATGAAGCAGATAGAATTCTTAATATGGATTTTGAACAAGAGGTAAATGATTCCTGAGAAAACACATACCTTAAGAAGCTGACAAAACATGAAAGAACCAAGTATTGTTCTCTAAATTTCATATCTGATGTAAAGTTAATCACTACATGTAATACATGTACATGTACTTTATATTAAAATCTTTTTATTGTGTTTTCAATTCACTATGAATTAATTCTTACATGTGTCTTATGCACAGGTTGATAAAATTCTGAAAGTGATACCAAGAGAGAGAAGAACTCTGCTGTTTTCTGCCACAATGACAAAAAAGGTATTCTGATAAATCCTGGCTGATGTTGGTATCAACTTTCTGTTCTTTGTGTGTCCTTTACTGTCTTCTCTAAGCTCTAGCATAAAAAAGTTTCACAAAGTAAAAACAATTGCTTTCCATGTAACAATAAAGATTTATCTGTATACATGTACATGCATATTTAAAAAGAATGCAAAAATGACTAAATCTTTAAACTTTTTTTCATCTGTTAACAAGGTGGCAAAATTACAAAGGGCATCCCTGCAAAACCCAGTGAGAGTTGAAGTTTCATCAAAATACCAAACAGTGGACAAACTCCAACAGTACTACCTTTTTATACCTGTGAAATTCAAGGTAGCTGTTTAAAAGTCACCTTAGGTGATGTATTTGCTATCTGTTTTTGTCTGTAATTGTCTGTCATGTGTCATCTCTAAATTTTCTCCATTTTCAAATTTTTCTCTTGAACCAATGAGTCAATTTCAACTAGAGTCATATAGAAATCCTCTTGTTTTCAAGAACCACCAAGCCAGAAATAACAAAACATATGTGAGAACTCTCTTAAAAATATTCAGATTTGTTTGAATTATTATGATCATATCTATAATATTAATGTACATACAGGTATATGTATATGGAATATAGTGCAAATAATCTATAATTTCAGGATGTCTATTTGGTGTATATTTTGAATGAGTTGGCTGGCAACTCCTTCATGGTGTTCTGTAGTACATGCGCTAACACACAGAGAGTGGCACTAATGTTACGGAACCTGGGACTCACTGCAATTCCACTGCATGGACAGATGAGTCAGGTATTTAATTATTTTTTTTTATATTATAATTTTCAAAATAATGATAGTGAGGTGAAAATTGCTCTGCTAGTCAAATGAAGATTTTCTATAGGAGCAAATAATATATGATTTGATAGTGATACATGTATCTGTTTTATTTTTTCACCATTATATTAAAAGAAAGATACACATATACTGTTAGATGTTTTCTTTTGATACAAAACAATTATACAACTTTTTTTAATTTTTATCAGTCAAAAAGACTTGGAGCTTTGAATAAATTTAAGAGTAAAAACAGATCCATCCTTATTGCCACTGATGTAGCAAGCAGGTTAGTTTCATAATTAAATGGAGAAAAAATCTGATGAAATATATAAATTATGATGAAAATAGAGCATTACTGTAAATGCATAAAAGCATTAACCTGGATGTCATTTATTGGAAAACATATTTTCATTTATCCCAGAGGTCTTGATATACCACATGTGGATGTTGTTTTGAACCTTGACATCCCAACACATTCTAAAGATTACATCCATCGAGTTGGCAGGACAGCAAGAGCTGGGCGTTCAGGGGTAGCCATCACCTTTGTTTCACAGTAAGTTTATAGCATGTTGTACATGTACCTGTTACAATTCTAGGACATCAAATTATTGCTGTCTATCATAACATCCATAAATGCATGAATGTACATGATTTTAAATGTTTCACATAAACACATTATTACTAGAAGATGCTTCACTGAAGCCCTTTATTATTGTCAATTACGGTTTATTTTACAAGAACATATTATCTTTAATTAGCCATTTGTGGTATGTGTACATGGCACCTGAAAAATCCTCATAAATCGTGATGGAGGTACTGATGAATTATAACTAATCTCTAGGTATGATGTGGAGCTGTATCAGAGAATAGAACACCTGATTGGTAAGAAGCTGCCCCTGTATAAGACAGAGGAGGAGGAGGTGATGCAGCTGATGGAGAGAGTGACAGAGGCACAGAGATACGCCAAAATGGTGGGTGGCAAAACATGTTCATACATTGGTGCAGGATTTCTACATGTAGAAACTGAAGTATTTAGAGAATAATGAATAATGGAATTCTGTACTTGTATTGTTGAATTGTCATAAGTATTTCAGCTTTAAATGTTATTATGAAAATTAAAGAAAGAAAGAAATTATTTTTCAGGAAATGAATGAAACAGAACGAGGAAGAAAGAAACGTAAGAATGAGGATGATGAAGCAGATGATACAGAGGAATCCCTGGGAGTTCGGAAGAAATTCAAAAAGAAAAAACACAAATCCTGATTGTTGTACTGTATTTATGTTAATTAAAAAACATTGTTATAGTTTATTTGTCTTTTGTCTGAAAAAATTGTACATGTATTTGTAGTGTACATGGGATCATTAAAGGACGCTAGCCACAGAAAGTCCAAATATTCAGAAACGTTGCTGATTTTGGCTATGGTTGCTGAATTTGGCAACTATGGAGTTTCCAGATTCAGATTCAGAAACCCATTTTTTTATAACTATTTGGATGGAAGGACATATGAACAAATATTTGCATTATTCTTAAACTTGATCACTATGTTTCTTTATTTCACTTCGTAGAGGACAATTTTCTTGATGTATGTTTTTGTGGACATCAACATAAAGAAGACGTATATAATTCAGCAAACATTCAAATTCAAGACACAAATCCCATTATTAAGGTGCATCTAAATATTAAATGCCAGAAATTGATAATTTTGAAAGCATACTGTGATAACAATTATGATTTTATCTCTAGAATGAAGAGAAAATTCTGGAATTGATGTGAATATATTGAATTTAATTCTTTTTAATGGAAAACTAAAGTAGTAAAGGATATGGCATATGCATAGCTAATGTATTAATTATATATAGACAACCTTCAGTGAAAGTAGTTTATTTAAGCATTTGGAGCATATAACTATGCTATAGCTATAATAGAATAAGTTCTTTGTTCAGTCAAATGCCTCTTCTTATTTATGAATCGCAAGCTAATGAATGGCAAGTAAATGCAACAAGGATGTGAGAAGCCAGTGTCAATCGAATGGGATGGAATGCCAATTAGACTACTTAAATTATGCAAAGAAAATTTTCTGTGTATAAAAACCAAGGAATCAATTCTTTGATAAAAATAAGAATTATTAGAGGTATAATTCTTTTTAAAGGCATAATTAAAAGCTGAGAGATGCATGTAAATGTAATTAAGTAACAATGGTAGATTTATTGTAGTATTATATATAGTATTTTAATTTGCGAAAGTTAATAAATGCAAGAAAAAAATTCTTGCTGATAAATGTGTTTTCTGGACTTGATAATCACTATGAAACGCAATGATCATAATGAGGTAAGAAAGAACGTTTTGAATATTTAATTGTATCGGGCTCGTTATTCTGAAGATTTCCAAGATGTCTGCTTCCATCATGATCAGTCGGCACGGAAAAAGATTGTTTATTCCCTGTATAGCACATGTACAACGTCGATTGATCAACATTAACTACACAATGTCAGGATTTCATCTATTGTAAGTTGACGTATAACACAGAAAGTATTCATTGCTCGATGAAAATGAGACACTGTTGCATAATGCATATAGGTCATTGGTTCGAATTTTCTCGCAGATGATTCCAATTTTTTAAATAAAATATTGTTTAATTTCTTTGTATAAAAATCTACATCCTCAAAACGTCAGGGGTCCTGTGTCAGCTCGTTGACATGGGATCCCCTGACTAACTTCATTCTTTTTTTATGCTTGTTTCTCTCTTTGAGCAAATTGAAGTAGACAATAATGTAAACAGAAAGGAATCAGTTGACACCTCAAATACATGTGTTACATGTAGTTTATCTCCGAAAGGCTTAATGTGATTGATTGAGAGATAAGAAAAACAATCAATAAATATTTGTAATTTTCCCAAAAGACGTTGCTGCAGTCAGCCCTGTAAGATATTGAATGAAGTTGGTCTGACAGGGGTCTTATGGCAACGAGTTGACATAATACCACTGACATTGTGGGGATGAATACTCTATTGAAACTTTTCAAAATAACATTTACACATTGACTTTGCAGCTGTGGTACTTGTTATACCTTGTATTGTAAGAAAGAAACTTATGTTGTTGTGAAACATGCCAAATTTTTATTTTGAACAAGGAATAACAAAGACTTGTGTGACTGCAAAGATATAGTTATCCTGAAAAAAAATTTATTAAAAATATGCAGTAATTTGATTAAATTTCACTACCTTGTCCATATATGGGTTTATAGAGAGCTATATAGATAATAAATCTGTATGTATACATCAAGCAGAAAGTGAATTAGACCAAATTGTCTTGCCACACAAAATTGAAGTACATGTATATATAGGCAAAATTTTCAATGGTCTGAATTTAAGGCATAGGAGGGCTGTAAACAACAGTTACTGATATTTTGAGATGACAGCTTGAATATAGAGAAATACATTGAGAAATAGCAGACATTTTTTGGTGAACAATGAATATACACTTTTTTTCAGTTGGTTGCACTGTAGCTCTTTTGTCATAGATCTCAATATTATAAGACCAGTGAGCTACAGATCTGCAGCTTGAATTGTCCAAGAAATATCAGAAGTTTGGAATATCAATCTTAACGAGGCCGAGTCTAATTCGAGTGTGCATGTCTTTGCACAGCTTTTTAGTTTCATGCAGACTTAGGTGCAACATAACACCTATCCTAAGTATTGTAATTTTAATACAAAATTAACATTATATTATCTGTGACATTTATGGGTCTTAAAATGTGCTTTTAAGACAATAATTAGGAATAAACGCCGAAATGGCTTTCACGACGTCACTGTTTTCTGGTTCTGTAAGCAATGCATGACGCTGAAGCAATGCATGACACTGAAGTATTATGCATTTAACTCGCTTGAATATTCAAGACGCCCATGGACATTTTATTAAAAACTGTTGACAGAACATCAAAAGAAACATACCAGCAATCTAAACATGGTTACATGTATTTTTTACTAAAATAATTCATCTGCGCCGATATATACAAATGTATGCCGTATTATGGCAAATTTAGAGGTATTGGGCATTGGAAAAAAATAAACTTTGTAATAATTCCTAGACCAAATCAGATGGTAAACTTTTTTGAGTTTTCACAATTTGGTGCCTTTTTTATGAACTTTCATCTATTTGACTGAAAAGGAAATCCCTAGGGCAGAAATACAAAAAATATGGGGAAAATGTGATAATTTGGCACTTTTCCAACAAATTCCCATAGGGTCCAATAGGAAAATTTGACAACTTTTGAGATGGCCCCCTAAGAAATCGGGATGGTAAACCTTTGATTTTTATTCACCCGTCTTAAGAAGGGACGTATTATGTTATAGCCTTCATGTCCATCCGTCCGTCTGTTAGCTTTTTCGTGTCCGGCTCATAACTTTAATACTACATGTATTAGGCATAGAATTATCAAACTTTGTCAGCTGATACGTCTTGGGTAGAAGGTGTGTCGCGCATTAAAAGTAGGTCGCTCTGACCTTTAATTAAGATGCTATGGCCCTGACCTTTAATTAAGATGCTATGGCCAAATATGGAAAAATCCTGTCAGGCTCATAACTAGAAAACTATTAGACTTAGAATCATCAAACTTGGCCAATTTATGCATCTTAGGTAGAAGGTGTGTGAAATTCCACCTCTCCCATGGGTGTAATCATCAAGCACTGGTCAAGGAGAATTTTGATAACAGAAAATTACATGTCAAATTAGAGAGAAATTAATGAGTTTAGTGTGAGGAACTAACTGGTAGAGCATCTCAGATCAAGCAGGTGGTATCTATATCTCCTGGGCAAAGGAATCAACGTTGGACTAATTGAATGTAGTTGGCTAGCCTTTTAACTTTTAAAATGAATTTGGTGAAAAGTGATTAAAACTAACTTAAAAATATTGCATCAAGTTTACACAAGTTTTTGTTTCTTTTTATAAATCTTTGTAACAAGTCAAAAAAAAAAATCTCTGTTTTCAACAGAATGACATAAATATGCATTTTTATTACAATACAGACTATTAAAGCAGATAGTGCAGATCCATTCATCCCTTGGGAGTAATGAATGGACATGCATCCAGTTAAAGATTATAATTAATGAGTTCAATGTATAGGAAGGCTAGCTGTCTCAATCATTTCTGTTAGAGCATCTCTGATCAAGCAGCTCTTATCTCTATCCTATGGTGGCATATTTCTGCCCCATGTGTGCAAGTTATTTTTCTGTCAAATATGTTGACATACAAGATAAATATGTTGACATGCAAGATAGTTATGTCAACATGCAACATAACTATGTTGACATGCAAGAAAATTGCAATCAAATAAAAATTACAACAAATCTTCAAAAATCTCAAATATCGCCCACATGTGACTTCCAATATGCTAGATGCTACGTATTTATGTCGACATGCATTTTATTTATGTTGACATGCGAAATAAATATGTTGGCATGCAAGTTATTTATGTCAACATGCAACTTAGGTATGTTAACATGCTACTTATTTATGTCAACATGCAACTTAGTTATGTCAACATGCAATTTGTTTATGTCAACATGCAACTTAGTTATGTTAGTTATACAACTTAGTTATGTTGACATGCGAGATAAATATGTTGACATGCAACTTAGTTATGTTGAGTAGCGGATATGTATATAATTTTAAAAAAGTAAATATCCAAAAATGAAATCACAAATCGATGTAAATGTCTTACAGTGAATATGATCGATTTGCGATTTTATTTTGGATATATACTTTTTTAAATATGATCGATTTTCAAAATGATAAGATTTTGAATTAAATGATTACATTTAAATGCAAAAGAAATTATATGATACACAATTTGAACATTTGTGCGAGCGTGCAGATTCGTTACTACCCAAGACATGAGGCACGGTTCTGGTTTTCTTTTTTTTTTCTTTTTTTGGTAGGTGAAATTGAAGTTGATTTTAATGATCCAAAATTTATTCAAGCAAAAGTTGCAGTTTAAATTATTTTCTATAATATGAGGTGGTCAACAAAGTATAAGTTGAATTTCCTTAGATAAAATGTCCTGGCGATTCAGAAACGTAACCGTAGATTATAAAACATTTTTAGGGCCCCTCTCTGCTGGCGACCTATAGTAATTAGTGTGTCCGTCCGTCCATCTGTTAGTCCGAGGTCTCTTTTAAAGAATGTGCAGTGACCTTGAACTATATTTCAAGGTCTAAGGTTAAGGTAATAGCAGAACTGTATCTGAAAAATGCATGTAAACATAAATAAGTTGCATGTCGACATAAATATGTTGCATGTCAACATATTTATCTTGCATGTTAACATAACCAAGTTGCATGTCGACATAAATAAATTGCATGTCGACATAAATAAGTTGCATATCAACATATTTATCTTGCATGTCAACAAAACCAAGTTGAATGTTGACATAAATAAGTTGCATATCAACATACTTATCTAGCATGTTAACATAAATAAAATGCATGTTGACATAAATAAGTAGCATCTAGCATGTTGGATGTCACAGGTGGGCGATATTTAAGATTTTTGAAGATTTTTTTTATAATTTTTATTTGATTGCAATTTTCTTGCATATCAACATAGTTATGTTGCATGTTGACATAACTATCTTGCATGTCAACATATTTATCTTGCATGTCAACTTATTTGATAGAAAAATAACTTGCACACAAGGGGCAGAAATATGCCACCATACTATCCTTTGGGAATTAGACAGAAAAACTGCTTGTCAGTTTGTAGCATATGTCATTTGATGGCCAGCCTTTTATTTTCAAAATTAATTTGGTATAGATTAAATTGTTAAGACTATTTTGATATTGTTTAATATGAAATTTTTATTTAATTTTTTGTAAATATCAAAGAAATATGAAAGATGGGGTGGGGGTGGAGGGGGGGGGGGCTGCAGATGGGCATTTGTCAAGGTCTAACACAACCAGTTGAGAAATTTATTATAATTAGTGCTTGCACTACAGGAAATGTATAAACATCAAATATCATAAGGAATGGAAAAATCATGGAAATCTTTGAATAAAAGGTTGACATGATTTTCTTGCACCCTAAACTGCATGTTTATGATAATTGAACAATATTTGCCGGGAGTATCATGCTGTGGCGGGGCACTTTATTTTATCTTAAAATAATTAGTATAATAGTAAATATTCATTCAAGAAGTTTTATCAAAATATCTAGGGTAGAAGTAATTAGACTCGGCCTCATTAAGTTATTGGGAGTCATCAAAGTTTGGGAAAAATTTTACTATAACCTTATTTAAGTGAAAAAATTGTGTGAAAAAAAATGATGTTGATAAAGAAACACAAAAAAATCTGGCTACAGAAGTTACTGAAAATTTTATCATTGTTTATGCAGTATGCAAAAAGGAAATTGCAGACCTATAATTTTAGTTGTGTAGAATTAACTATTTATTCATGCAAAGGAAACCACTCTCACCCTAACAGTTTCAAGGTCATACATATTAGGGAAGTATCATATTATTATTATACCAGCAACAACATTCATATTGGTGATGGTATGCTGTTGATTATATTTTCCTTCTCCTTTGAACTTAACTTTGTTATTTTGTTTTTCATTTGAACAGATTGCCTGATATCCCTGATGATACACCTGAGACAAATCCATTATTACGATACCATGAAATGCCAGATTTTAGTATACCACCAGACAAAATTATCACAGGGGCAGCTAAACTTTCCCAGGATTTTGATATGTCATTTCAAAATCATTTAAAAGATCTACAAGGTACTAAAAAGTTGCACATAGGAGAAAACAAATATTAATCAGTGCCTACATTTTTAGCTCACCTCTGTGAAGTCAGTGTGAGTTTATTCTATACCCACAACTGTCAGCATCAGCATCCCATTTAAGTTTTTGAAGCAGATTTCCAAGTAAACCTTATGCCTCTCATTAATTAAGGTGCATGAAAGATGTATTTAGTATGTTTCAATGTACCTGTTGCATTTTCAGCCAATATTTTCCAGAAGAATAACCAGGTTAATGTTTTTGCAGTACATTAAAGTTTTTGCACTAAGTTTAAATTTTAGGAGCAATCATTGAGTATGCATCTATAAGAGATGCACTCTACCAGGCTTGCTTCAGATGCTGGATTTGACCTACATTTTTCAAATGAATGATCAGGTTTAAGTTTTTTAGTTGGTCCATCCCCAAGTAACTATTAGCCTGAAAGTGAGCAAACTTGCATGGATTATGCATCTAGGGATGCACTCTACCATACATCCTTCAGGTGCTGGATCTGACTTCCATTTTTCAAATGACTGATTGACTAGGTTAAGTCCTTGGAGCAGGTCCATTCCCAAGTATCTAGAAGACCTGTGATGATTTGCATGAATGATGCATGTTTGGGATGCACACTGACAGTTCTGCTTTGGATGCTGGATCTGACCTATATTTTGCTGAGGAGTGACCAGTTCAAAGGTTTTGTAGCAGGTCCATTCCAAAGTATCTATGACCAAACTTGCATGGATGATGCATCTAGGAATGCACAGTATCAGAATATTTATTTGGTATGAGGCTTTGCCTAACTCAGATATCATAACAGTTGTCAAGGTGAGCTTCAGAATCTTTGATTACCTATGTTTACTGAACTTCTAGAATTGAAGATTTATTTTATCTCAGAAGACACAGTCAAAGACTCATGAAATACATGCATCTGATTTGGTAGTATCCAAGTAATAAATAATGTCTAAGCAATCTATGAAGATACAGGTTTATATCAATTACATGATTTCATACTGTACTTTCCATTTACATGTACAAGTGCTTCAGTGACATCGTCAGTTTTTCAAATTTGCACTTCAAATGACAAATAAGTATTCAAATAGAAAATAACAGAGCACTAGATTATGCTCTTATTGAAAGTTTTTGAATGAATTATTACTGTGATGAGTGAACCAAGCCGTGAATTATATTTATTGACTTATTTTTGTCTTTGTAGAATCTACAGAACTTCCTACATTTGAATCTGTTTTACATCCAGTAGAAAAGGCTCGTGTGCCATTATATTACAGTTTGTACACCGGCAAACAGCTGGGCGTAGGAAAAACTGGAAAATATTATGATGCATTTTTGAAGGTAAAAATTAATTTTAAAAGGAAGTATTTAATAGGTATTGCAAGTCTAGTTTATAATAGATACCATTAATTTTCATCAGTTGCTTTATAATTCAAGGCTTCTACTTTTCAAAATTTATGTCTTTGCTTTCCAGTTATTTTAGGACTATCAATATTTCTCCCTAATTTTTCAAGGACAGAGGTCAGATACTTCTTTCAGATGGAATTAGTATTAATTTGTATTATTTGAATTACTGTGTAACAAGAGAGATTGGATTTAACTTTGTGTCTATCATTATATTGATGACATAAAAGAATGAAAAAAAATTAAGGATATATAGGATTTGTTTTCTGCAAAAGAAATGAAAGAAAGGATATTACATGTATACAGAACTGTGAAAATAATGATTTTAAAATTAGGAGAAATGGAACTAAATGTCCCCCCCAAAAAAGGACAGACTATGAATACATGTAAATGTATATCTTTAGGATTGGCATATTACATTTTTTATTATGAGCAAAAAGAGCATGCAAATTTGTCAAGAAAGAAAAAAAAATTATTATACTGAGAAGGGAAAATGTTTAATCAAATAAGCTAAAGTGTAAAAGATTTTTTTACCTACCAGACAACAGACATTGCAGGACGAGTAGAGTCAGAGAGGTGGTATGGGCAAAGTCTGTACAAAGCATTGCTCGTAAGTCCAAGATATACCCTTTACCTGCTATCTGAATTGTATTTCATAATCCATTAATGTATACTTTTTTCCTATTTTTGTATCTAATCAATATTTTGAAATTTGGTTTGATATTAAGAGTGTTCGCAACAATGGAAATCTCACAGAAGCCCAGTCCAGGTTACTTGACCTATACATTCATGAATTCATTAGAAACGGAGCAGAACTTAAAGATTCCCAAAAGAAGGGACTTTCTACAATTACAAAAAAGATCTTACACAAACAAGATAAGTACAGGTAAAATGCATGAGTATAGGTGAAGTGTATACATAACAATGTAATTCTGTTCCTCTTATCTTTATATCTATCATGGAATGCATGTATCTTTAAGAAAAAGTAACAAATCTTCAAGCTTATTCAATTTTTAACACTACATGTATAAAACGTGTATATCTTATAAATAGTGATACTTTCTACATACTATCAAACCTCATTATCTCGAAATTGATGGGACCGAGAAAAATCTTCAACATATCCGAGGGTTCAAGATATCAAGGGTAAAATACTTAAGAAATGCCGGTACATGGTTAGGACTTCACAATCACTTCGACATATCCATGGTATTCGAGATATCTGTGTTCGAGATACCAGAGTTTATCTGTATATATCTTTACCACAGGATTCAATTTTAGATCATTCTGCATTTTTTTTTTTTTTTGTTTGTCAATTTCAGGCTGAACCTTGACAATGCCTTAAGTACCTCCATGCAGAAGGTTGACGAGTCCTTTGTCCAGGGAATTCCACTTAATGTTCTACAGTACATGGTGCCACCAGGGTAAGCTTATAAAATGTTATGTGGATTTTTAGCTCTAATCTACTGGTCCCAGCAATGGCATCAGGTCCGTCATCCGTCGATCTGTTTTTCCGTAAACAATTTTTCAAAATGCTACTTCTCCTGCAGTTTTCTTGGTACAATGACCAAAAGCAGAGCACACTAAGACACACAATTCTTTTTTGTTTTCATTTCAAGTAGATTATACCAATGAAGACAGTTATATTATTGATTTGTGATTTTGATAAATGATGTTGGCATGGCTATGTGAAAAAAGAATAATCTGTAAAATAATTAATTATTATAATTTCTTGACTCAGTGACATTCTTTTCCTTTTTGCATTTGTTATTTGTAAAGAGTCTGTTCTGGTGCTTTTGGGTTTCATTTAAATTGTTATTGACTATTTTCATAATTTTTTAAATTATTGAAATGGAAAAAAAATCCTTTATATCAAATTTAAAGAAAAAATTCAGATCAGGCATTTAATTTATTCAGTTTACACATTATGGGTTACCTTGCATGTGTTAAGTATTTATTTATCGGCATATTTTGTTCTCATCACAGCTCAGACCCAAGAAAAGGTCCATGGAGGATTGTTCATCATCCAGTCGTCTATGATGGTATCCTGAGATACTGCCGACTTGGTTCTCTGCGGAAAGAGGTGTGGATTAAAATGGTCAGCATGGCTGGTAGTGAAATGATGGAAAAACGCTCTAGTAATGTACAAGCCATTCATGGAATTGTCCAAAACAGGTACCTACATAAATTGCACATGTGTGGACTTGACAGAATGTTCCTTTCATGAAAATGTCATCTTTTTTAAAAATAGCTCAATCTTCATATTTTCTTTGTTAATTTGCTTACAGACATCTTTTGGCCACAAAGCTAGGATTTAAAAGTTATGTTGATATGGTGTTGGAGAGAACAATGGCAGGGAGTATGGATAATGTTGTCAGCGTCCTGGACATGTAAGTACACATGTAGTAGGTTGTACAGTGCGTTTTCAGTCTTTTAAGGTTTTGTGTTTCTAATCTTATATGCTAATGTAATTTCAATTTGTGTATCAATTGATTTCCTTAGTCATAAAATTGGTCACTTACAAAATTGTCAAATACTGAATAAGTGAACATGGATTAAAGTGGATGGTACATGTATGTATAGTATTACATGTATTTGCAATGTATAAAAAGATTGCAAACCATTTATAATAATCATGTGTAGTAGAATGGTTGCCTCAGAGAAGAATTTATTGATGATTTATTTTAGGATGAAGAATAAGCTGTATGATATTGTGAAGAATGATATTGAAACACTGAGGGAGTATTCTAAAAAATCTGAGATAGAACACTGGGACATAGAGTACTTTAGGCAAAGGAGGATGGAGGATATTTACAAGTAATTTTTAGCTTACTGATTCAGTTACCCACTATTTATAATACAAAGTGCAGAAGTCAACTCTTAACCAAAAACCCTAGACAAGAATTCTTGTTCAAGTGTATACTCATCTCTTGAACTTTCTATCTGTCAATTACACTCTGGGTAAACAATGTTCAAATTTTTCCAATATTAAATATACAATGTAGTTGAAAGTGATTGTCCTGAACAATTTTTATCTTCTGTTTCCTGTTTTATTTCAGTTTTAAAAGTTTGGATCAGTTTTCAGAATTCTTCCCATATTCTAAAGTGAGAGACAATTTCTTCCAACTATGTACCAAACTGTTTGGTATAAAATTTCAGGTAAGAGACCCCCAAAAATAGAAATACATGTGCATGCAATTATGTTGTATATCTACTTTGCACAAATATATTGAATAATTGTGCATGGCTACTAAGAAAGGTTTCTTCTGAACTTGTTGCAGACAAATTTATGCTATTTACAATATTTTGAGCAGTAGTTGATTTAAATCTTTTAATATCATATTCTATCAACAGGAACGACATGATTGCAGTACTTGGCATGAGAGTGTAGAAGTGTTTGATATCATAGAGGAAGATGGTAAGAAAATGATAAGTTTACAGAAATGTGATAAATGTATAAACAGTTGGATAAAATGAAGATAGAGGAGAGATATCATTTATCATGTGTTTACCGGTAGTTTGTAACTTTTCTTTTGTCAATCATTTTAGGCACAGTTGCAGGGACGATTTATATAGATCCTTTTGCAAGAAATCATAAAGTGGACCACACTTACTATGAGATGGGAAGAGGTATATAGGCAGATTGATTGATTGATTATTGTTTAACATCAAGTTGGCAGTATTTCACCTATATTTCAGTGGGATAAGGGCAGATGAACCATACTTTAATCAACTGTTGACATTTCATTCTGATAATGACTTTTTGATGATTTATATATATTTTGGTCCGACTACATAACTATATATTCTTGGTTACTGAATTATAATAACAGTATCAGTTATCATTACAATAAGAACTGCTTTGCCATTTCAGACAGAAGCACTGTTGTTGATACTACACCTTTGGTTTATGCTTCACTAAGAAACCCCCCTCCATTTGATCATAGCACACCGAGTCTGTTAAATATAGGAGACCTGTACAGTTTCATCATGACAGTAAGACCTATTTTCATCTCTTTGCAGTGTGTAAAAATTATTGTTAACAATTATTAAAAAACAGTCATTTTTTAAGCTCTACTGGTCAGAAACCAGAAGAACTTATGTGATAGTAAGGTGTCCGTCGTCTGTCCGTCTGTCTGTCTGTCCGTCTGTAAACAATTTTTCAAAACGCTACTCCTCCTACAGTTTTAGTCTGATTTCAATATAACTTAACACACAAGTAGACTACACTAAGATACATAATTCTGTGTATTGGTTTTTGATTTCAATGGTGTTGCTATGGTTACTAAAAGTAGAAATTTCTGGGAAGTACTTTCAAAATGCTACTCCTCCTACAGTTTTGGTCTGATTTCAATATAACTTAGCACACAAGTAGACTACACTAAGATACATAATTCTGTTTATCGGTTTTTGATTTCTATGAACGATTTTGCCATGGTTACTAAAAATAGAAATTTCCTTGAAATACTTTCAAAATGCTACTCCTCCAGGCTCCTACAGTTTTGATCTGATTTCATTATAACTTGGACTATCATACATAATTCTGTGTATTGATTTTTGATTTCAATGAACGGTGTTGCCATGGTTACTAAAATAGAAATTTCTGTGAAACTCTTTTAAAACCCTACTTCTCCTACAGTTTTAATCTGATTTCAGTATAACTTGAAACTCAAGTAGACTATTCTAAGATACATAATTCTGTATATCGGTTTTTGATTTCTATGAACATTGTTGCCATTGTTACTAAAAATAGAAATTTCCTTGAAATACTTTCAAAATGCTACTCCTCCTAAAGTTTTGATCTGATTTCAGTATAACTTGGCACACGAGTAGACTACACTATGATACAAAATTGTCTTTATTGTTTTTTTGATTTTGTTGAATGATGTTGTCATGGTTACTAAAATTGAAATTTCTGTAAAATTCTTTTAAAAGGCTACTCCTTCTACAGATTTAGTCTGATTGCAATAAATCTTAATAATACAACAATCTCAATAAAACAAAAAGAGACTACACCAAGGATCATTATTCTATGTATTGCTGTTGCAAAGTTTCAAGTCCAAGTGCTACTTTTAAGTACAAACCAGTAGAGCTACAGTCTCATCAGAGACTTCTGGTTATGTATGTACTTCATCTGTTTGACTTATTGACATTACAGATTGAATGTGTCCTCTATCTGTTTGACATTTGACATTACAGATGGGATGTGTCCTCCATTTTTTTGATGTTTGATTTTGACATTACAGATGGGATGCGTCTTCCATTTGTTTGACTTTTGATTTTGACATGACAGATAGGATGTGTCCTCCATCTTTTTGACTTTTGATTTTGACATTACAGATGGGATGTGTCCTCCAGTGTGTTCTTTCTAAGGCCCCATACAGTGAGTTATCTGGGGACAGGTTTATGGAGCCAGATGCACAGTACATTGTGCCCTACACACTGTGGAATCTGGTGTACTGTCCGGAAGTGTTCAGCTCTCTCAGTAGTCACCACTCATCTGGTGAAAAGATCCCAACAGAACTGTTAAACAGAATGATTACATGTAAGGTTACAGAGGAGTAAGATTATAATTTGTTTTGTAATGTGGTTAAAGCTTAAAAATTTAACAAATCAGAGTTGATGTTTCTGGGATCCTTGGATAACCCATCATCAATTATAAAGATAAATCAGTTTTCAGAGTTCTTATTGTATGAAATTGTAAAAAATCAATTGAATATAGTTGAGCCTCATTAATCTGTTCCTGAGCAAATTGTCCAGGTTATAGAAGCATCCAGATTACTGATACATACCTTTTCTAATAGGTAGATATAAATGTAACTTTTCTCCCCCATAATTTTTTTTCCAGAAAGGGGATACCCGGTCTCTTATCAGCAACTCCTCCTGTATCACTGAATAAATTTAATGACTTTCTTAGTATTTTTATTTTTTTTACATAGCACCTCCTATTTTTGGTTTCGATCAGACAGATATCTGGGGCTTCCCATAACAAAAAATGGACTTTGCCATTATACTCATATGGGAGTGGAGGGTATCTTTTTTTGAGCTCATTGCTCACAGTACCTCTAGTTTTTCAACCATGTTCTGACTATACAGTTAAATGTGTGTATATAATCAAATTTACAGCACAACAGCACATGCAGTCAGTTGATGTTCTAAATGAAGTTTTCAAAAGTGCCCTGGATTTGGAATTTTATCTAGAGTAAGTCCTCTTTATCAGATAACCTCCTGTGTAGAGTGTTCTACCGTACTTTTTGTTTCTTTGTTTGTCCTTTCATAGATTTTTTTGACAAATAAAATTGAAGAAATGTGTTTCCATGTTTAAATGCACATATCTTTAAGGTCTTTATTTAATAATATAAAATAACAACTGATCACTTTACACATTTCTTTTCTTTTCAGAGAAACCAGGGGTACATTCATTAAAACGTAAGTGAAATTAAGGACTTCTGCTATTGATAAAGCAAAGTGATATCTATTTTGTCATTGTTTATTTTCATAAAGGTCATCTATATTAGATTCTTAATTAAATTTTTTTCTCCAATTTTTAAAAAGCCCTGAATCTACCCCTGATCAGTACAGAAGACTATACAAAGAGTTCATCCCTATGCCCCTACATCCCAAAGATGAGAGATTTTGTACATTTAATGATATCTTCATAGGAAATAAAAGCTGTCTGTACTATGCTGACACATGGGCCAAGGTAGGTGTAAAACTAAAATTGCTTGATATGAAGGATTTCAATTTTTTTCATGTATAGATTCCCATTCCATCTATTTCTTTCTCTTATTTTAAATAGATGGTAGCAGCTGATGCAGTTTCAGCTTTCAAAGATGTTATTGGTGATGAGGAAAAATTAGCCATTGTTGGGAGAAGGTAATGATTAAATATTTAAACTAACCCCCCCCCCCCCCCAAAAAAAAAAAAAAAAGAACAATCAAACAGAAACAAAAAACAAGTTATTCACAGATAAAATATAAATATTGATTTCATCAGCCTCTGTTAAATCTTTGTAAACATCTTAAAGAAAAACTGTGATATGATTTGGTAAGATTTTTTTCCTTTAATAAAGGTTTAACAAAAGACCTCTTTCTACACTTTTACTTTATTGTGTATATGAAATTTTGATTTATGTTATTGTTTCTGATTCAGATTTCGGGACACTTATTTAAGAATGGGAGCAGGAGTTGATCCTAAAACTGTATTCAGAACTTTCATGGGAAGAGATCCCACTCCTGAGCCATTTTTGTCCAAGTTCAGAGAAGAAAAATTGATCACAACAGAAGAATGATAAAATATCAGCAATGGGTTTCTGTGATATTTCAATGACCGACTGTTAGGCTTAGTTTATCAGACTTTAGCCCATTTGTCTGACTGAACAAGCATTGAACTACATGTATGATGCTTATATCAACAAAGTGTTGGTGGTGTGTGAGAAACAAACAAGCTACTTCTACAGAACATTTTTTTGTAAGATTTTGTAGGTTATGAATGATAAATAAAGAAGTGCGTACTTTTCATGATTTATTTTCTTAGCACGATACAGGTATACAAAAAAAGTTACAGAAATATAAAATACGGTAATCTAATGTACATAAGCATTAATCCCTGAAGCTGAGATTCTAAATTCTGCTCAGTTTGATTGTACCTATGTCAGTGTCATACAGCATTCTTTTCCATAACGATGAATTTCAAATGAAAGTGGGTTTTGAGAGTGAAACACTGCATATCCTAAAGTGAACCTGATCACATGGATTTTCAATACAGTTTTCAGTAGGTAGGATAGTACAATGTACAACAGTACTGAATATGTCTGAAAGAAACCACAAGCCAGGCCATCCGTACAAGGTAGAGACTTGCTGATATCATAACCAGAGTACTGAATACAAGTACATGTGTTTATCTCTGAAATTAGATGAGATTTAAGATGAATTTGTAACTGTTTATACTGTATGAAATCACAAGCCAGTGCCGCCTCTACAAGGTGGAGATTTGCTCACGTGATGACCAGAGTCCTCCCACTGGGCGTGTGTTTTTGCCTATAATTTGCAAAAAAGAAGTTGACTGAGGGTAAATTTATTAGGGTAAATAATTATTGATGTTAGGCCATCTTCAAAAAATTGTTTGGTTGCCCTCTCCCAACTGACTGGCTAAAAATGGCCTGACTCAAAAATTTTTTTAACCTCCAACAAGCAATTATTTTTGTTATGCATTCAGGAAAATAGACTTTGAAAATTCAGCACTGATGTTGAAATTTTCTGGGGGGAAAAATTTCTCATCGGCCTACAGATCCAATTTTTTCATCCTGAGTTAGGAGAGGGCAAAGAGACATTATTTTAAAGTTGGCCTTGTACACAAAATTTTATCCATACTTCTTACCATTATGGACAAGGCGTGCACACCATTTTCCAGCTCTTCCTTCAAAACTTCATTTACTAAGCGATGTCTCTGAAATTAATAAAACATGACGTAAAGTTTCTTTTAAAAGTATGATTTACTTGAAAACGAGAACTGACAGTCATTCCATATTTTTAGCTCACCTGAGCTGAAAGCTCAAGTGAGCTTTTCTGATCACCCGTTGTCCGTCGTCCGTCCGTCCGTCTGTCTGTCCGTCCGTCCGTCTGTAAACTTTTCACATTTTCAAATTCTTCTCAAGAACCACTGGGCCAATTTTAACCAAACTTGGTACAAAGCATCTTTGGGTGAAGGGAATTTCAAATTGTTAAAATGAAGGGCCAAGCCCCCTTCAAAGGGGAGATAATCAAGAAAAGATAAAAATTGGGTGGGGTCTTTAAAAAATCTTCTTCTCAAGAACCACTGGGCCAGAAAAGCTGAAACTTATGTGGAAGCATTCTGGGGTAGTGTAAATTTTAAATTGTTCAAATCATGACCCCAGGGGGTAGGGCGGGGCCACAATAGGGAATCCAAGTTTTACATTGAAATATGTAGAAAATATCTTTAAAAATCTTCTTCTCAAGAACCACTGGGCCGGAAAAGCTGAAACTTATGTGGAAGCATCCTGAGGTAGTGTAGATTCTAAATTGTTCAAATCATGACCCCAGGGGGTAGGGCAGGTCCACAATAGGGAATCCAAGTTTTACATTGAAATATGTAGAAAATATCTTTAAAAATCTTCTTCTCAAGAACCACTGGGCCAGAAAAGCTGAAACTTATGTGGAAGCATTCTGGGGTAGTGTAAATTTTAAATTGTTCAAATCATGACCCCAGGGGGTAGGGCGGGGCCACAATAGGGAATCCAAGTTTTACATTGAAATATGTAGAAAATATCTTTAAAAATCTTCTTCTCAAGAACCACTGGGCCAGAAAAGCTGAAACTTATGTGGAAGCATCCTGAGGTAGTGTAGATTCTAAATTGTTCAAATCATGACCCCCGGGGATAGGGCGGGGCCACAATAGGGAATCCAAGTTTTACATTGAAATATACAGAAAATATCTTTAAAAATCTTGTTCTCAAGAACCACTGGGCCAGAGAAGCTGAAACCTATGTGGAAGCATCCTGAGGTAGTGTAGATTCTAAATTGTTCAAATCATGACCCCCGGGGGTAGGGCGGGGCCACAATAAAGAATCCAAGTTTTACATTGAAATATATAGAAAATATCTTTAAAAATCTCGTTCTCAAGAACCACTGGGCCAGAAAAGCTGAAACTTATGTGGAAGCATCCTGAGGTAGTGTAGATTCTAAATTGTTCAAATCATGACCCCCGGGGGTAGGGCGGGGCCACAATAGGGAATCCAAATTTTACATTAAAAATATGTAGTAAAAATCTTCTTCTCAAGAACCACTGGGCCAGAAAAGCTGAAACTTATGTGGAAGCATCCTGGGGTAGTGTAGATTCTAAATTGTTCAAACCATGACCCCCGGGGCTAGGGCGGGGTCACACTAGGGAATCCAAATTTTACATTAGAAATATGTAGTAAAAATCTTTAAAAATCTTCTTCTCAAGAACCACTGGGCCAGAAAAGCTGAAACTTATGTGGAAACATCCTGGGGTACTGTAGATTTTAAATTGTTAAAACCATGACCCCAGGGGGTAGGGCGGGGCCACAATAGGGAATCCAAGTTTTATATTGAAATATATAGGAAAAATCTTCTTCTCAAGAACCACTGGACCAGAGAAGCTGAAACTTATGTGGAAGCATCCTGGGGTAGTGTAGATTCTAAATTGTTCAAATCATGACCCCCGGGGGTAGGGCGGGGCCACAATAAAGAATCCAAGTTTTACATTGAAATATATAGGAAAAATCTTTTAAAATTTTCTTCTCAAGAACTACTGGGCCAGAAGAGCTGAAACTTATGTGGAAGCATCCTGGGGTAGTGTAGATTCTAAATTGTTCAAATCATGACCCCCGGGGGTAGGGCGGGGCCAGAATAGGTATTACAAGAGAGGAAATCTGGTAAAGAACAGCATGGCCAAAGCTACTCAGGTGAGCGATGTGGCCCATGGGCCTCTTGTTGTAATATGCACAAATAATTTATCTTTCATTTGTTACTTTTCAATTAACATTTGTCAGAATTTGTTGTATTGGTACATAAATTTAGAAGATAAATGTGCAAAGAAAAATTTTAAATGCTTCTAGTAAAACATGCTGATGATTTGCCTTTTCCTTGTAATTAGAACATGCCAAGTAATTGGCATGTGCTCTTTCTAAATTCCTTATAATTTGAATATAATTTTTTTTTTCATTTATTTGTTGAAAAGACAGATTCTATAATTTGCCATCATAAGTAAAAGATGCTTTTAATGTTAGTAACTATGTAAAAATAGGTTTCTTACTTGAATGAGTGGTACACCTTCAAACATATCACTTATAACAATCACTTTGAAATGAGTTTCTGAACCTGCAGAAAATTACACAATGTTAGGCCCAAAACAAGTAGTAAAATTAACAACAGAGTTTCTTATTTTGGACAATATAAACTTACCCTTTGGAACATTGTGTTTTGAACTTTCATTTATAACCTCTAAATGCTGTGGTTGAAATTTACTGGCAAGTTTCTTGCTTATTGATTCCTCAACTGGCTTTTGCTGCAAATAAAATGAAGACAAAAACACAATGTAGTTTTTGTTTTTAAGTAGAATATAAGACGTTGTTATCAAGGTACTAAATACATTAATATGCATTTTGTTAGGGTGCATAATACAGTAATATGCTGGAAGCGAAGATTCTGTAGATTACTCTGGTAGAGAATGTATACTTTCAAATACGTTGATACTTACTGACAGTGTTGACATAATTCGTCTACTCAGAGTTGATAATGGTCTATTCATCTGCATACATATAGCTGAAATAGGTAATGTAATTTGTGATTACACAATACACTTTGTCAACTCAATGTTTAATACGTGTAATAATAACATTGTAAATGGTAGACTTCAAATAGTAAATACTAATCGAATTGTTTATAAATACATGGATAAAGAAAACTCACTTGTCAGCGAGTCACCGAAAATAGCGAAATCTTTCGCACGTGTGTGGTGACTGTCCTTTGCAGATGGAGTGTACTTTCACTTTTGCATTGACCAATCAAAATCGCGGTGCCATGAAAGTCGGGTTAGTTGTAAACAAAACCACATGGATTGATGGAATGCTCTGAGAGAAAGTTTATGTTTGAAGACAATAACAGTAAAGAAAGTGAAATAATAACCATTACAGAGGTTAAGATATGTTTATTTAACATTTTTTAAATTTAGGTAGTCGATAGCATGGTTATTGTACATACAGATGCATCAATCATTTTTATGTTACACCAGGAACCTATATACTATACTTAGTATATAGGTCCCTGGTTACACAAAGTACTTTACTGGCAAATTTCAACTCCTCAAGGAATTACACCATCCAGAGTTAGAAAACATGTGATCAGATCCAATTTAAAGTATTGGATACCTTTTTTAATTGATTATAGCTGTCTGCAGTACGTGTTTTTCTTCATTTGAGAAGCCAATAAATTATGTTGAAGACTTTTGAAATTACATGTGTATTAAATCCAGAAGTCTTCCCTTCAGTCTCGCTTTAACCCAACATGACATACTATGGGTATACTGAAATGCCCATTAAAAATTACCCTAAGCTTGTCAGTCAGATTAAAGGATATGAATTATAAGGCCTGTGATTGCAATTGTAACTATCCAAGCGGTCACCGTTGCTTAACTTGCCTGAAATCAAGGGAGACTATACCGCATCACCAGGAAAGCTAGCTCACTAGTGAGGCAGTACAATTCTGTCCCCTAAGCTCAGAAGTTATCTTTAAATTTTTCTGCAACTGCATGTGTATAGCCTTGATTCTGTAACAGTTGAAAGTGGCTATGCATTGTATATAGTGAGGCCAGCTCCTACTAGCACTAGCTAGTGGGTTAACCCTTTAGCTCAGTTGGTAGAGGGTTGGATTTTAAATCTGAGGGTTGTAGGTTTGAGCCACAGTGTGGACACCCCTAGCTAATCGGTCATATTGGAGCCCAACTACAAAACCCACATGGTGAGTGGTGTTTATAGAGTCTCGTGTGCGAGATTTCTCAGGGGTTACCGGTAAGAAATCTCAAGAAAAAGAAGGGGGAAGTGTAACAGTTGAAAGTGGCTATGCGTTGTATATAGTGAGGCCACACTCCTACTATCACTAGCTAGTGGGTTAACCCTTTAGCTCAGTTGGTAGAGCGTTGGATTTTTAATCTGAGGGTTGTAGGTTTGAGGCACAGTGTGGCTAATCAGTCATAATTCTAAGGTATTCAATGTACAATGACCATAATTTGTACTCATAAATGAATGGTCCAATATTTTTTAATTATGGTAGCATTTTGAAGGTTGTCCAATTAGTTGCACCTTGAATTTTACATTGAAGTGAAGTCTATGGACAGTGCATTGTATGTTATCAAGATATTGTTAAACGTAATTTGAACTTCATACAAATCTCTTGGTGAAAATATGCATATTAAACTCTCTCTTTATTAAAATATGAAATAAAATGAATCATTTTCTACAGATATTTTGACAAAATGAAAATTTTCTTCTTTTCATCAAGGGCAGATAACTCTTTAAAAAAATGGTCACCTATCTCATGTGAATTTGGTTGATTTCACTAATAAGTTCATCATCATTATCTAGCAAAACATATATATGTAACTTGTTTAAAATGATTAAAAATTGTTCAATATCCCTTCATTGTACATTGAATACCTTAATGAAGTAAATAACAGATACATGTACTTAATTCATACTTATAGTAGAAGAATATGACTTGACCTTGAACCAAAATCATTTAGACAAGGTCAGGGCCACATGGATTGAAAGTGAAAATGTTTTGCTTGGCTCTTTATACTATTGAACTTAGAAGTCATTTTTACTATAAGTTCAGTATACATAATGAAGGACATATCATGGCCATCAATCAGGGTCATTAAAAATGTTCAGGACACAAGGATGTTGTAATTCTTGTTCAGGACATAGATGTAATAAACATTGAAACCCATTCTTGGCACAAAAGGAGTGGATGGTCACGTTTTATGAAACTGATTCAGGGTCATTTGGGCGGGGTCATTATGAAAATTCCTGCCAGGATTTTATATGAATTAAAAATTCTGTTTACAACGGTATTATGGTCTGGAGCATTCATGTTTGTCATTCTGTAAAAAAGGTAGAAATATCACACATGTACATGTCCGAGTGACTTAATCAGGTCTTTTTCTGTTAATTACGTACCACAGGTGCTTCAACCAAGCTATGGTTTATATGTCTGGCCCTCTGCTCCAGTCCTTGCTCAGTACATATGGTTCAATAGAAATAGGATCAAAGGGAGGAATATTCTAGAGGTAATTAAGTAATATAAGATCCAAATATATCTCTTAGGGTATTTCAATTATTATTACTGCGTAGTACATGTAATTAGGTTCAATAATAATAAATTTGTATATTTGTATTTAGGACCCATTATACAAATGATATTTATATATAGTGTTGCTTTTACAGTTTTGTCTTTTCATTGGAAATTTTGAGCCTACCTATACTGGATATGTAGAGTTATATATACAAAATGTATATCTAAACTTTAATTACTCAGACATTTTACATTCATCTCTTAATACATTTTATTTTGTCCTTTATGTTAAGCTTGGGTCAGGAACATCACTACCCGGGATCTTAGCAGCAAAATGTGGAGGTCATGTCACACTGAGTGATAGTGAAGACATTCCACATTGCTTGGAGAACTGCAGAAAATCATGTCAGGCCAACGGACTGCAGAATATTCCAGTTATAGGATTAACCTGGGGCAAATTCAACAATGCTCTACTTGATTTGTCACCTGTTGACATAATTCTAGGATCTGACTGCTTTTATGACTCCAAAGGTAAGAGAATACCTAGCTCCTCTCTCAGATTTATCAAGCTCATACATGTATATTCAATATTATATATGAGAAATTATCAAAGACTATGCGAAGTTAGGGAGTAAACTGATCTGTTTTTATTTTTCTACAGACTTTGAAAACATAATCGTAACCGTGAGTTACTTGATCAAAAAGAACATTAATGCAGAATTTTGGTGCACATATCAAGAGAGAAGGTAAGTAAAAAGAAAAAAAGTGAAATCTATACATGGTATGGTTGTAATTATCTAATCAATAAATGTATTTGAATCATTTTCAATTTTTCGTGTAGTTCAAACAGGACAATAGATGTACTGCTATTGAAATGGGGACTTGAGTGTGAATCAGTTAGCTTGGATTCTTTTGATGCAGACAGCCCTTCATTATGTGGATCCAGTCTACCAGGGAACCATACAATCCACATGTTTATCATCAGAGCCAATAAGAGATGAGCTGCAAAATAATGGGACCTTGGGGTTATTTCTATGGTGACTGATGAAAGGATGCCATATCCTCCTTCTTGAATTGCTGGTGATTGAATAAAAATATAAACATTGCAGTTGATATATATTGAAAATGAAAATTCTCATGATTATTGACAGTGTCATCAAGCTAAGTTGTTTTTCGTATAAGCATGTTGGTATAAACAAAGATTTTATGAATCTTTATTATTGAAAGATCTCAAATGACCATACATAACACCTTCCAATAAATGGATGAAAGTTGCTGAATGACTAGATATTCTGTATTTCTACATTATGTTCTGTCAATGCTGACATGATTTTGATTCTCAATAAAGTGAGGATTGTTGATGCAGCCAAGCTGCATTTCATTAGACTATTTGTTTCTCCTCAATGAGATATACCAGAATCAGAGAAGAACAAGAGTCCAGTGAGTTTTGAGATTCATCTGAATACCACAAGCATTTTAACAAATGCTTTTGGAATTGAGCCAATCTTGATAGAGGGCTCATTGTTCACTTAGTTTGTATACCAGGTGTACAGAATAAAAAAAAAATGAACAGATTTACATGGTAATGCTTTTCCAATGTAAGAGTAATTTAGCCCAATCCTAGGCCCTGCACCCAGGCACACTACTCATTATAATCATGCAACTTGAAAAGAATGTACCTTGCTTTAGTTTGTATTAATCTTTAAAACAAATTTGAAAGAAGGACAAGTTTTAATAAAAATATATCTTGAATAATTTCTTTGACACTGAGCTTAAGTAAAATGAAAAATAGTGAGGTCAAGGTTATAGGGAAGGTCAAGGTTAGAAAAATATGCTTTCACTAAAATGTAGTGCTCAGTGTATTAATTTATATAACAAAGAGTATTTGTGAAACACTGATGCCCCCATACGGCAGCTCATAGCAAAGGCTAAAGTTTCTAAAATGCATGTCAAACTCCAAGATTAAGGTCAAGAGATCAAAAATGTTGGTACCCAAAGAAAGGCTGTGTCCCAAGAAATATACCTGTGAAATATTGAATGCTCTAGCACCAACTGTCCAAAAGTTATTGCCAAGGTTACAGTTTTTCTAAAGTAGGCCAAATTTCAAGCCAAAGGTCAAAGAGTCAAAATTAATGGTGCCCAATAAAAGTGCTTGATACAAGGAATATACATGTTTAATATAAAAACCCTAGCTCCAACCATTCGAAAGTTATGACCAAGGTTAAGGTTTTTCAAAAGTAGGTCAAACTCCAAGGCCAAGGTCAAAAATACTTAAACTCAAGGAAAAGTCTTATCACAAGGAATACACATGTGGCGTATGAAAGCCCTAGCACCAACCATTCAAAAGTTATGGTCAAGGTTTAAGTTTGGTAAAATTTTGCAAAAGTGAGTCAAACTCCAAGGTCAAGGTCAAGAAGTCAAATATGTTGGTACCCAAGGGAAAGTCTTGTCTTAAGGAATACACATGTGGAATATGAAAGCCATAGCTCCAACCAAGCAAAAGTTATGAGCAAGGTTAAAGTTTTTGTGGACAAAGAGAGTAACAGACAGAGGGATGGACAGAATAAAAACTGTATGCCCCTGAATCTTCTATTATGGGGGCATAAAAAAATCTTTGAAAATGGAGCTAAACAGTTTAATGGATGGATAGACAGACAGAAGATGAAGGACAAATTCTGTATTCATGGCAGGGCATTAAAAAGATTTCAAATAAATGACTGATTTATCCCCATCCTGAACCCTGCAACCAAGGTTCTGAAATTTAAAATGATGTGTAGAGGACTCGTTGTTCATTTACTTTGCCTGCTAGGTGCTTTTCCTTCATATGACTAACTTAGCCTCATCCTTAGGCCTGAACCCTTCATCCAGGGTTGTGAATTTCAAAATTTTGGAAGAGGGATCATTATAATAGAATTTTGCCAGCTATATATTCAACAGTTGAAAGATTTTAAGACTGCATTAAATTTGATGGTGTTGGCCCCTGTCCTGAGACCCCAGAGGCTGGTACATGTACCAAAAAATTATTTTTCTTCCATTAAATCGATGATTGACTCACAAGACATAAAAAAATTAACTTTAGATTTTTTTATTTTATCAACAAATTTTTCTGAGACACACACAACAATCTGTGAAATTATATTTAATCAATTACATCAAAATTATAGACATGATTGCAGCATCATTAACCTGAGATATGTATAAAATGATAAGAAATGCAGTGTTGTACCAATCTGGGATATCTGTGCACAAATATGCAGCTATGAAAATAATTTACAATGGATGTTAGAGACATCAATCAGTACCTAAATATTTGTACTGATCTAATTAGGCACTGAATACTGTATACAGGGTTATTTTCGCCCTTTTACACTTGCAAATAATTTTGCCCTGTTTTAAATTCACTCAGTTATGGTTCCGTTTAAGAAATAATACTATGTCCTTTGAATTAGCCCCATTTTAAATTCACCCACTTGTGAGTAGGGTGAAAGGGGCGAAGATAAAATGGGGGTGAAAATTTCCCTGTATACAGTACATGCTTCATATTCCAATAGCTGTACACAAGAGGAGACAACTCTCCATACTTATGAATGCAGAATTTGATGACAATGCCTGTTTTCACACAAGTAAAATATCATCAGGATCACAGACTTAAGCTTTTGTTTTGCTAGGACATGCCTGATTATTTGTAGAAGGCATTAATAGCTCGTCCAATGATTAACCTTCGGACTTCACTGGTTCCGGCCCCGATCTCATAAAGCTTGGCATCTCTAAGGAATCGCCCAGTAGGATAGTCATTAATGTAGCCATTTCCACCTGAAATAACATGTTTTTATATGTTTATAAAGAGATATTTTCTACAGAAACTAGCACTAACACACCTCCTTTGTTTGAAGTATTTAGAAATTCTGCTTGTCCATGGCAACACTTATAACCTACCCAGTATTTGGATGGCATCCAAGGCCATTTGTGTAGCTGCCTCAGCTGTATATAGAATTACCGCTGCACAATCCTATAAATGATAGGTTCAAGATGATAAAGATTATAACAAATGCTTATATGCAATATTTACTTGGGAAATATTCTGGTAGTAACTCCAAGAGTATGTAATACATGTATAGACATTTTATACTCACAAAATGTTAAGTAAATTGGTTTTCATCTTTAATCTTTAATTATCATTTAAAGGTTAGTTACAAATTTTGTATCTGATTTAAATCATATCATTTGTTTAGTAAATACCGTATTTTTTGTAATTTTTTATACAACAAATTAAAGAGTAAACTTACATTGTTCTGCCTTTCTCCTCGATCCAGGGAGCGAGCCACATTGTAAACATATGAACGTGAGACATTCAATGTAGTGTACATATCTGCCATTTTTGCCTGTATCATCTGTAGTAAAATGGATTCAATTATCCTTATATGTAAGACTAATTATTATCAATTTTCAATATTACATGATGCACATTCTGAAGAAATACTTTTCTTCCATGTGGTTTTAATTTATGCTATGTACAATACATGGTCACAATTTTCCACGGAAATTTGTCCTGGGGTACTTAAGTACTTTTAAGGCATATAGTGAGAATCTAAGAAATCTGCATAATTTTCTACACACGGATTGAACAGAACTTGTGATTCTGCTGAATTATGACCCCATGGGAAAAAAGTTTATTTTACAGTATACGAATTATCAACATTAAGGTAATGAATTGTGATGTACCTGAAATTTTCCAATCTTTTCCCCAAAAGCTTCTCTTTGGTGAGCATATGCAAAAGCAACATCACAGCATGCTTGCATTATCCTGCAATTAACTTAAAATTAATACAAGAGTAAAGCACTTCCAATTTATATACAAACTTTATGGGATAATGGTATATTTTGTACACAAGCTTGTATTAACTTTGTTTTGTGCAGTATAGTTAGATAAACACTCTTGTACAGTTACATCTTTATTGGATTTGTAACAACAACAACAAAACAACAACAACAACAATAAGAGGCCCATGGGCCTTAATGCTCACCTGAGGAACTTTAGCCCTGCTGTTATTTGGAAGATTTTTGTATTCCCATGAAAAATTGTGACCCCATATTATGACCCACCCTAACTCTAAAGGGTCAACATGGTGATGTTTCAATATCAATATGAATAATATGGCCTTGCAGATATGGAGAAGAAAATTCTTTTCCTATATACATGCATTATATAAAAGTTACAAAATATAAAAATCTCTAACCCAGGGTTCATAATTTGAAGAAAAAAAATAATCCACACAACTTGGGAATATTTGCAAAGGAATGGTTCTTTTGTGAATCTTGAGAAGAATTTTATTTTTTTTCCCATGAAAAACTTTGATCCACTATTATGGCCCCACCCTACCTCTGAACGCCATGATTTGAACAATTTAGAATCTACACTACCTCTGGAAACTGGTACTTGTATTAAATTTGATTTTTTCTGATTCACTGACAGTATGTTTCACCTTTTCTGGCCCATTGGTTTTTGAGATGAGGATTTTTTAATGATCCCACCCTATTTTTGCCTTTTCTTGATTATCTCCCTTTGGAAAGGGACTTGGCCCTTCATTTGAAAAATTTAAAATCTTCTTTATCCAAGGATGCTTTGTGCCTACTCTTGTTATAATTGGCCGTGGTTCTTGAGAAGAAGTCAAAAATGTGAAAAGTTTACAGACTGATAGACAGAAGGACAGATGTACAGACAGATGGACAATGTGATTCCTATAGGGCTCCCACATTTTCATGCTCAGCCCTTAAAAAGCCTTTGAAAATTCAGCAATTTGTTTTGTTTTCAATTTAATTGCAATTTCGCATACATGCTTGTACATTGTTTTGTTTCAGTGGTGTTTGCTTACTCCTTCAGTGGCTCTATTTTCATCTCTGACCTGACTTATTATGACAGTATTCAATTCAAACTTACCTGAATTTTCTGCACTCTGAGGATTTTGTAAGACTGTTACCTACCCAACTGGTCCTGCAGCTAGAACTAATCGCTCTATATCCAAGCCACTCATCAGGACATACACTCCTTTATTCTTTTCTCCCAACATATTCTCAGCTTAAGAAGGAAAGGATAAGGATATACTTCTAAATAACTAGCTCTAATGGCTCATGACCAATTCTCAAACAGGATGCTACAATTTCCCATATCAAAAAATAATACATAAAAGTATATTTTTAATATATTTTTAATACAATCATTTTCGTATTGTTTAAAATTAATACAGAAAAAATATATTTTTTTTGTATCACCAAAAAATAGGTAGATTATTTTTGTATTAAAATCTGACTTTGATTTTTTACAGGGTATTATTTTTGTATTTTTTGGGACTTAGATTATTTTCAGTATATCATTTTTGTATTTTTGTGGACTTAGTTTTTTTCAAGTGTATTTTTTCTGTATTAAAATTGAACTTAGTAATTTTACAGAAAATTACATACAGTTAATCTGTATTATTTTTGTATTAAAATTGAACTTAGTAATTTTACAGAAAATTACATACAGTTAGTCTGTATTATTTTTGTATTAAATTTGGACTTAATAATTTTTCAAAAAATACTATACAGTCAGTATGTATTTTTTTTTATATTTATTTTGGACTTAGTGTTTTCTTTTACTGAAATTTGTATTTCTTTGAACTTAGTAAAATTTACAGAATGTCCTTGCAATAAGTCTGTTGGAATTAATATTTTTTTTCTCAGATTTTATTAATTAAGACCACTGCTGTAAAAGGTTGCTTTTATACTATTCACATTAAATTTAATGGCTATTTAGAACAGAAAACTTCAGTAGTTTAAATTTGTTAACTAAACAATTTCATTTTTAAAACATGTCTTTACTAGGTGTGAAATTGTCATTTGGAAAGGGATAGATACGTCTAAGGGGACACCTGTGCTGTACATGATACTTGTAAACACGCGGTAAATTTTGAAGCTTCAGAGTTTCAGACTCTTTTGTGTTGAAAATTTTACAGCGTGTTTACAACCAAGTGTTTACAACTATCGCCAACAGCACAGGTGGCCACCTGCAGGCTAACAATAGACGAGTACATGTTATACTACTCAAAGAAATAATATGATTTACCCGTGAAAACACATCCCAACAAAAAAAAAAAACAACAACAACATGGGGAGTTCCACTAATTACAGTACCTACGATGTTTTCTTGACTATACAACTCAATTTAGTATACGTTATATTTAATTCAGTACGTATTACAATTACATGGAATAGAACTATTTAATTATCCGCCTTTAAAAAAAAAAATTAAATAAGAAATTATTACGAAAGAATTTCATGAAATAATATAGAAAATGTTGTGAAATTGGTGTACAGGATAGTTGTTCAACATTATTTCAATCTCTGGTACCGTACGTATGAGTTAAGTTGTCCGTCAAAAAGGCTATATCTTATGTATCTCCCGCTCGTTTTGATCATTATATTTGAACTTTATGGTCTACTTCACAGGTCAACTTGAATATAAAAATGGCTGCTCTCAGCGGAAATGATGACCGGAAATAACAATGTTTCGTAATCGGTAAATTCCGTATGGAATAAAAGAATGATTCTGATGATTAGATTGAACATCGTTTTTTTTCTAACATAATTTTAGGTTTGTTCACTTGATTCAAGATATTTAAAACCATGTAAATATGTTTTCTCTAACTGTTCCGATCTCAACATCGGTAATTTTCGTATATATGACACAATATGATTGGTCAGATTTTAAAACTCTTCCGTACTGTTCTCTGATTGGTCAACAATATTTCACCCACGCCATTTTGAAAATTCTTCCCGGGACGTGTTGAGAAAGCTGGAGGTGATTTTGAATAAACTAGCATTTGCTCGCGAGTAAAATGGATCGAAAAACAGAAGTTCAGCATAATCATGGTAAACAGGATCATATATATGAACCAAGGAAAGCGAATACATAAGGAGACTGACGTTTTTTAGGCATCGTATCAGGACTTTTCTGGTGTAAACAACGACAGTTGCGGTAAGATTATGTATATTTTAGCACATTAAAGTTTCAGTTTTTTAAATAATATCTTAGTACAAAGATAGAGGATCAAAGAATGCCCTTTTTTACCCATTTTGTAGTATTGTAGAAAGATAAAATAGTACGGTTATTGGCCATGTGGGGAACAAGGGTTTTTGTGATAAATTCTGATTGGGGAGGTAGGGGTGGAAGATAGGGGTAATTTTCAAGCTTTCGGCTTCCTAGTTCTAATTCATTCCAATTTTTTCAAGTTTACCAGAGACGAATTATTTATTTTCCCTTCAAAAACAATTCTGTAATTTGTATAAACTCAAATTTTTTTCGGGGGGGGGGGGGGGGGGGGGTAGGTTGGGTTCGGGGAGGGGGCAGTTTATTTAAATAACATTGGGGCACACATTTTGTTTACTTTTTCAACATTGACAAGGACAGATTGTTTATTACAAATATTTTTTTAAAAATATTTTATAAATCAGTCCCCCCCTTTTCTTATCCAGATTGTCAAATCAAATGGTTGTCCCCTAAGAAACCCCAGATTAAAGAAAAGTAATTTCAATGGTACAATTGTATGGAATTTGGTGAACTCTGCTGGATCTTTTGGAATTTCAATTTATAATTATTGTTAATTTTAGTCAGCAGAACATTGAAGAAAAGCTGATTAGTCATGGAGGAAGAAGATCCCTCTCAAGAAAGTATTGCAGGTGTGTGAGCTAAACAAATTCTATAGAGAATTATTTTGGATGTGAAAATGTGTGTTTTGTTGAGGTAATGGTTCATTAAATTTTATTATTGATTTTATTATTATATCATTCTGTTCTATATTTCACAGTGATGAAGTCAGATGAGATGACAGGTTGTGTGATTTGAAGATGGACTTCTGCAACAAAGTAAACACTCCTCTACCTTTTTCCATACAAAAGCAGAGAGAAGATTGAAACATTTGGTAAAAGTACAAAGAAAACAGGATTAGTTTAACTTGTGAAAAAGATCAAGACTATTGAAGAGCAGATTATATGTAAAAAGAAAGACTACAATTGGTAGCTGAATCAGTAGCCTGGCCACATTTATTACTTTTTAATTAGCTATTTGTACATTAAAAGTAATCTGACTGAGTTACTCAAATTATTATTTAAAAAATATTTCAAATAAATAGAAGATTTTTGAATAACAATCAATAGATGCTGTTAAGAACCTCGATCTGACCAACCCCTTTTCTTCAAATAACAATTTTTTGCCCATGATAATTTTTGTAGTTTTTAAAACTGTTTTGTATTATTTTAAGCATTTAAATGTATTTTTTGTCTATCATTCTTGTACTTTTTTGATATTTTTGAAATACAATCCTTCATGCTGAGAAAAATACAAAAACAATACATATTAATACAAAATTAATACATTCTATATTTTTTTCATACTTTTTTGTGTACTGTATTATTTTCATATTTTATATCTTTTTTGTATTTTTAATTGTTCCAGATGAAAAAATACAAAAATAATATATGTGATACAAAATTAATATATTTTATATTTTTTTTGTATTTTAATTCTTAAAGGTGAAAAAATACAAAAATAATATATGCTAATACAAAATTAATACATTCTGTATTTTTTCTATACTTTTCTATGGACTGTATTATTTTTATACTTTGGAGAGGAAAATAGAGAAATAATACAAAAGTACAAAAACAATACATTTTTACAGGTCATGTGTATCATTTCTGTATTATTTCGAAAAAATAAAGTATATTAAAAATATATTTTTCTGTGTTTGGCTTTTAGAAAGTCTATTATTTTTGACCTAAATTGGAACCAAGATTTAGAGGGTTCCAAATTTGGTCATTAAAAATATACTTTTTTTGTATTATTTTAGTATTTTTTTCTTGTATTATTTTTGTATTCATTTTCGATATGGGTTGTGACAGCACGAATAATTTGGTAAAAAAAAAAAACAAACTTTTTCTGCTAGGTTTATACAAAGATATAGAGCACTGCAGAAATTTACAATAGTCTTGCTATAATAGCTCTAAAAACAGTGATTTGCTTTTTTCCAATATGCATCCTTTTCTTTTACGATGTTTGGAAAAATAATTTGCCTTCTTTACTGTGAACCAACTATTATTCGTCTCATCTTTTTATTTGGGATTTGTCAGTTTGAAATCAATCCGCAATGATTTAATTTTCGTGACTGAGGAAACATTCTTCACAAATTCCGAGCAAAATAAATTGTTGGTGGTGATTAATATTTGAGAGTTAAAGTAGGTAGCAAAACTCGCTGATATTTCTCGCACGCGAAAAAAAAGTTGGTTTACAGTATATCCTTTTCATTACATATAAATGATTGTTATGTACTGAGAAATTAATCAGAAAAAAATTCCGTTTTTCAAATGTCAAAAATTTGGTATTGTACATGTAAAATTTTTTTGGAAATTATTGTGGAAATAGCACTTGCCTCATGTACATCAGATAAAAAAAAACTTTTAAAAAATTGCAGAATAAATGAACTTTCAAAAAAAAAATGTTTGCAAATTTGTCAAAGTGTTTTGGCAATTTCTATCATACTCAAAGGCAGATGTAAAAATTGTCCAAGAATTGGTTATGAGCCAACATCAGGGAATGATTTCAGTGCACAAAATATGGGAAAGGAGTGTCAGCTATTAATTGCCCATGATGAGATGCATGACCAGTGTTTTCCATGTCAGGTGACAAGCAGTTCTAAGAAAAAGATATCTTGAATTTGTAAACTAATTTTTGTTTTTTCTGGGTTTTTTGGCACAGGAAGAAACAGAGATGGTTCTAGACAAAGTGAGGGAATTCCCTAAATCTTACATATCTTACAAATGAAGTCAGAAATAATTTATAACACTAGAATTTTATTTTTCTCCCTTGATATCATCATTTTTACCGTATATACTAGCCTATAAGTCGGTCCGCCTATAAGTCGCTGGTGTTTTTTAAGCTTAAATTAAAGGGATTGACCAACTGAAATACCAATCTTTTTATAACTCGCCTATAAGTTGGATAAAGAGTTTTGGACCAAAGTTTAACTCCCAAAAAAACGACTTATAGACGAGTATATACGGTAGACAGTGTTTCTTTTTTCTAGGCTCTTTGAAATGCTTAAATACAGAAACCTAGAGGGAATCTTTCCAAAATTCATGTGATACTTTATTTTTTATTAGGTTTGATATCTGAGGATGGCAGACAGGTGGAATAATTTTGATAAAAAGTAGCCAATGTACTTGGCCATGAGATATAAATGTTTGTGACAGATAAAATTAAGAAACTTTTTTGCAAAAGGAAAAACTGATTCTATTACACATGATTCAAAGTTACCAATTTTCCTCCATTTTGTTTCTTCATATTTCAGAAATTTGCAAGCCTCTTTACTTAAGATGGTTTAAAAAATTTGAAACTTGAGTTGGAAGAAAACTAGTATGTAACTTGCAGAGATGTAACCTTAATATCTTTCTTATTAATATTGATACTTTCTAAACTCTCAATAACCAACAACTCCATTTAACATCATTAATGTAACTGTTGGTATTTTCCACTCATTATATGCCTGTGGTTTGTTCTTCACTAAACTTTATGCAGGTTTTTAATTAGCATAATATGACAGTATAGATAAATATTCTCCAGTTGCTGAATCCTCACCCGATCGGCCCTGTTGCCACAACAGCTCATTCTATATCCAAACCAGACATTAGAACGTAAACACCTTTATTTTCTGCACCAAGTTTATTCTCCACTGAAACCAGAAATGACTAATAAAATACAAATTCAAATATCCGAGTATGTACACCCTACCTTCTGGACATGTATGGGCTCAAAGAGAAAATGAGGCTCACCCTATAGGGCCTGCAGAACCCAGAGTCCTTTCAATGTCCAACCCCGACATTAATATGTATACTCCATGACCTTTCTTCCCCAACATATTGTCCACTGAAAACATTCCATGTGACTCTTTCTAGTCAACTCATGATTACTTTTACAGAAAATTATCTTAAACAAGAGGCCCAAGGGCCTTAACGGTCACCTGAGTATAATACAACAATTTAGAGGATCCATTGAGTATAAAATGAACTGAAAGGTGAAGCTTTGTTGCCCAAAAGCAAGAAAAATAGGGTGATCAGGATCAACAAAATAATTAGTCTAGTGTTCATTAACAGTTCATAAATTAGGTTCTGATCTGTTCCCCATTTATCACTAACACCATGCAGTATATTAACAAACTACCAGTATCACTGCTTCTGTACTATTTTAATTCCTTGTTGAAATCTCTTACATTGGACTCTCTTGGTCTTTGATAGGCATTGAATAAGACAAGTTAGTTTTGTCTCATTTTTATTCATCTATTACTTACAAGTCTACCTGATCATAAAAAAACTATGAAAGTACTTTTTGTATTATACGATAAAAAATCTTGCATAATTCTCTTATTCTATTAACCTTTCAAGTACATTATTTACATTGACTAATTATCAAAAGTAAATGGCAAAGGGGAATAACTCCTCTCAGTAGAATACAAATTAATAGAGCCCTGGCCAGGACCAGAACACTTGACAAAATGGTCCAGATGTTCAAAAATCTATATTAAAACTTTTACTCTTTTTGCCTCTGATATGCCCAGGTGCAGAGAAGATTTTCAAAGAAATAATGCATTTTTCACTACAGATTCACTATATTATCAATAGAGCCCCCCCCCCCCCCCTGTCCCCACCAAGAAACACCAGAGCCTCTCACCCTGGGACCAGAAGTTTGCTCATCAAACATGTAAGTAATCACTTTGTTTATCTGATTAATACTAAGGAGCAGACAGGATTATTTAACAGAATTAATGCATTTTCACTATATAATCAATAGAGCCCGGCCCTAACACCAGAACCCCTGACCCTGGAGCCATCAATTTCACAATTTTGGCAGACACACTCTTGCTCATCATAACTATATATTTGGTTAGTTTATTTAATACCCAGGCGTAAAGAAGAAGATTTTTAAAGATTGCATTAATTTTGGTGGTTTTAGCCCCACCCCTCAGGCCCCACGGGGGCAGGGACCATGAAATTCACAATTTTTGTTCCCCTTCACCCATAGATGCTTTATGCCAAATTTGGTTGAAATTGGTTAAGTGGTTTCAGAGAAGAAGCTAAAAATGTTCAAATGTTAACGCACGTCGCACGACGACAGACGAAAACAGATAGCAATAGGTCACCTGAGTGACCCAGGTGACCTAAAAAGCAAACATACTGATCGGAGTCAAAATATGAAAATGGGGCAAAAACTGTAAATTACAAATGCCATTACATGTACTACATATGCGTGCATCAGTAATGTATGAATGAATGTTAAAACAAATGACATGAACAAAATATGTTGTTATTTTGAGATGACAAATTGATAAGTATAAGTGAATATGTTTGGACTTCAAATAGTGTAATTCTTGTATCAGTACTATTTTTTAGAGAGGAAATTCTGTAAATGGAGAAAGCACTGACCTGGTACTTTACAGTCTTCAAAGATTAGCTCTGAAGTATTGGAGCCTCTCATTCCTAACTTGTCTAACTTAAGACCTGTACTAAAGCCTGGCATGCCCTACAATACAAAAAGTACCGAAAAACTAACAATTTTATCTGTATAATATTTACTTGTACATTTTGTATCAGCGATTAGAGTGAGTTCAACAATCACATAATCTTTAAAGTGTTATAGAAAAAAATAGAACAATTTCAGTGATTCCATCTGACTACCTTTTCAATAATAAAGGCTGTAATTCCATGCTGAGGAGCTGCAGTTGAGTCTGTTTTGGCATACACAATTAAAGTATCTGCATCTGGACCATTGGTAATCCAAAACTTACTCCCATTTAACACATAATAATCTCCTGAAAAAATCAACATTGTGTACATGTGTTTTATCATTTTTTTATTTTTCATTTTTTAAATAATTTTCTGAAGTTTTGGTAAACAATAAATGGATCTCATAACTATCTAACATGTACTCATTACAATAAAATATAAATGTCCTTTCTTGTGATGTTTTACCCTTTTTCTCTGCTTTCAGTTTCATTGATACAACATCGGAGCCAGCACCAGGTTCACTCATAGCCAGAGCTCCCACTTTTTCCCCTGAGATCAACTGTAATAGAAATAAAATATCAACAGAAATGCTAACAGGAAATATAGTCACTGAACACAAAAATTATCTGATTGCACTCAAATCATTGCCCCTTGTCATGTTTTCAGTACTAATGGCATTAAACCAAGGGGTTCTTTTTGATTTAACATATCTCCTGGAGACATGCAAATGAAATTCTTGGAGATTGTGTACTTATACTTAAGAAATTCATGTGGATATTATACCCTTACAAAACATTTAGATGCTCATGGGATTCAGAGTCAGATCACTTTTATATACCATAGATTGGGAAATTAACACAATGGTTTCAATTTCACAATGTTCATGATTTATCATTTTTCCATGAAATTAAACCCATCATGAATTAGGTTATTAGTTCACACAAAAAAGTATCTGTCACAAGGCACACTCTTATATTGTGAAATTAAAATTGGTACTCTTGCAATAAACAGTGAAAGTTTAGCAATCTGGAATTAAAGCCACTTACAGTATGTGAATAAGATGATCATAAAATATTCTCTGATTCACCAATTTACATGTAGCTGGTATAAAAAAAAATTCCTATTTATACATGTATTCGTCACTGACTAAAGAGTCTTTTACCTGGGGTAAATATTTTTCTTTTTGTGCCTCACTGCCATTTCTGACCAGCTGGTTCACACACAAATTAGAGTGAGCCCCATAACTCAGTGCTACGGCAGCTGAAAATCGACTCATCTCCTCCATCACCAAACAATGATCTAAATACGTCCCTTCTGTTCCTCCATACTCAGCTACAAAATAAAAATGACTTAAATGTAACAAACGTGCATCCAGCTGAACTATACTCCATGTTCATATTGACCTTGACATTTGCCTGGTACTTACAAGGTGCTGTGATTCCCATCAAACCAAGTTCCCCACATTTCAGCCAAAAATCCTGCAAAATACATGCACACGTATTATGAATTATATTATTCAAATTGCAATCTTAACATTTTCAGTGCTGGAATAAAGATTCTTTCTTGTCTTAAGTACCTGAATATTAAATAAAATATAATGATAAAGTGTACAAAAAAGAAAACTTATTATCAAGTAAATAGTACCGTACTTTCATATCTTTGAACTCATTGGTTTTGTCGATCTCATCAGCTTTGGGAGCGAGTTCTTTTTCACAGAACTGGAAGACGGTCTGTCTTAGCTGAAAAAAATCAATTTAATATATTTTTTTATCAAAGAGATTAGGCAAATACAATTCTGTAACAGCATATTTCATTTTTTTTTTTTTTTGAAAACCTGTGTTTGTGATCAAAAGAGGTTCAATTAGTGAAAAAATGTCCTTTGATGTAAATGCTTTGCTGCACTATCAAGAATTTATAGAAAAATACTACTTTGCACAGATTTTCTTCAGCAATCAATTTGTATATACAGTCAAACCTCCTTATCTCGAACTCGTTGGGATCAAGAAAAAACTTCGAGATAACTGAGGATTCGAGATATCGAGAGTAAAATACTTAAAGAATAAGCAGTTGGACTTCCAAATCACTTTGACATATCCATGCTCGAGATATCACTGTTTGAGATATCGAAGCTCAACTGTATATGGAATTTATACATTTACCTCCTAGCCATTTCCTTCTTAATTCATTCACCTGATGTGAAGTTACATTTTTTATACTGTGAATCCAATAAGCTTTCCCTCTAAAATTAACCTTACATGACGGTTGTATGTTTTTCAATTGACCTCTGAATTCTATTTACATTGCAATGTAGATCTACCTTTTGCTCATATAGCGCACTTTCAAATAAATATTCCCAACTTCCATATTATCAACTTTAAAAATTCTTTTGATATTTGTGCTACCTAATGCATGCCTTCAAATCCATTTTTTTTTTTTGTGCAAAAAGAATTCTCTGTAACTTCTTTCAAAACTACCAGGACACTTTCACATGTTATTATAATGCTCATCTTTATCAGAAAAAAACACATGGAGATATACTTTCCTCAATATCAGAAAAATTTATCAATTAATGAATAAAATATTTAAGTGTATCATAGCAGAAAATAGGTTCTTGTAAGAATGTTACAGATGTACTAAAGTGTTTAATTTTACTAATTCCAGTGGCCCTAGGATCGACATATCAAAAAGACAAATCACCAGACAAATGGACACAGAAAATAGGTAAATAAGGCAATAATCAACACCCCATAATAAGCCCATCTGGAGATACCCAACAACATAGCCATTTTTAAAAAAAAAAAAAAAATAGGCACTGATCGTTCAAACTGTATTAGAGGCGATTGTTGTTTTACAAAACATTGTTACTATAATTCAAAATTTTTAAAATGTTTTGGAAAAGATAAGTTTACCAAGGTAGGAATCTTTCTTTTAATTAAAATCAGTCAGAAATTTTAAGAAAACTTAGATTTATTATCACTTTACTTAAATAAAAAAAAAATGTTGTTGAAAAAGTGAATAAAAAACAGTTGAAGACTTTGACCTTGGATTGAATATTTTAAAATGGTTCACCTGTTTCTGTTCTGATGTTAATCCAAACAGGGAATCGTTGACAGGGAAGTAAGAGGAGCATCTTACTGTCCTTAATAGTGGTGATTTACGTTGGAAAAGTGGCTTTGATAAAATAGAAAGAAGCCTTCGTGTTGACATTATGAAAATGCTCTTCAATTCCTGAAGCTAGTTTTGGTCCATCTCTACTTTCACTTTTACTTTAGGCGATGGAACATGGATGGATACATCATACAGCAATACACAACTCACAGCCACAGGAAGAGAATAATCGTATTTTAAGTGTGAATTATTATTTTGTTTTTCAACGAAAAAGACTTTAAGATAAACACTAACACATAAACTGTCAAGAACTGAAAGGTTGTTTTCAGAATACTGAAAATGAGTGTGACTAAAATGGGTAGTAAAACCCGGGCCGGGCCGGGAATTTCGAAACTGAAAACCGGGTTTTTGACAATTACGGAATGAATACTTATTCTTTCTTAATGAAATTTAAGGACATAATTCATAACAATAAAATTTGCCTTCGCTGAAAATTTTAATTCAAAATATTGTGTTTTTCAATGATAATCACCGATCGTCCTTTTCCTGGTGACTAAAATGGGTAGCAAGCCCGGTTTACACTTTTTGATGTTTCATACTTAATTTCGATAACTTATTTGCAATTATGTCTGTTGGATCGTTGAAATTGAACTTAAACTACTAAAAACATCTAACTATTGTATTAATATATCCTGATTATTAAAAATATACGCATTTTTTGAATACCTGGGACTGGCCAAAACCGGACACGTTTACCCGGGACGAACCTTTAATTTCCGGAATGCTGACGAGAGGATGTTAGCTATCACTTACGTGACATTGCCCAGCCCAAACCACGCGGAGGTATCCTCATTTGAGCCTAATGTATACCCACCCCCCTCCTTTTGAAATATATATAACATCTACATGCATCAAACATTAAAAAAGAATACATAAACCGTTCTTATTGTATAAATACAACACCCTACCAGGGTCCAGACTCGGTTTACATTTCATCCGACTTTAAATAAAGCACTAATGTTTTATGCTATACTAATTAAAAAATAAGAGTAAAAACAAAGACAGGTTTTTAATATTTTTATTTCATTTCATGTTTCTAAGCACTATATTCACATAGTTACTAGCAAACCGTTCTTATTGTATTACTACAACGCCCTACCAAGGCACAGACTCGGTTTACAAGTAAATTTAAGAAGCACTAGTGAATACTGTTTTGTGATATTCCCATTAAAAACACACAAAAAAACACAAACAATTCATTCCTCATATTTTTATTAATTCAGTTAGCACACGATGGGCAAATGAAGATGAGACTCTCTTTTGGATCCTGGATTCCAACACAGCGTAGATGATACCATTGTCCACAAGATGGATTTTCACAGACAATCATGTCATCATACACATTTGGAAGGCTACACCGTGCTGCACAGTCCATACTGATCTTCTGAATATTTTCTCGCTTCTTTGTCAAACTCAGGCGTTTCTTCTGTTTTTGCTTTTTAGGGAATTCCTCAAATTTTTTCTCTTCCAAGCATTTTATTAAATGATCCCTCATTTTCCCTATGTCATACTGTATCGGTTGGTCCTTGATGTCTTTTGCAATGCAAAAATCTGTTATATTGGCAATTGCAAAGACGCCACAGTCAATACCATTTGTTTGTTGTTGCACATCCAAGATGGACACATTCAAAGTTTTTTCTCCTCTTCCATACAACTTCCCAAGCTGTAACTGGGTTGATTGTGATATATAATCTCTCTTCTTATTGCAACTGTCCAAAATCATAACTTTATCGCTTTCATTCATTTGCAAACTAGCAATCCAGTGCTGATAACCAGTGTGGTGAATTTGAGCTACAGGAGCTTTCTCTGGTGACATCTGTAATTTGTACTCCCAGTTTCCTTCTTTTATAATTGGGGCATATCCAGTGTGTTGGAATCCATTAATCTGAGGAAACTGTTGCTTCAGGATGGTTTGTGCAAAGTTTATTACATCACTACACAGCATGGAATTATTCTGAATGTCATTTTTGTGTTTGATGGTAAGAATGTTTTTGCCATTTTCTATCCAATTTTCCGCATCTGGATTTTCCCTTATTTCAGTGCTTGTCTCTTCCTTTTCTGTGTTTAAAAAATTCTCGTCCTCAAATTTTATTGTTACATCTTTGTCACATGGTCTTGGTTTTTTGGTGCCTGCTTTTTTGTTTACCCTTTTCCTGTTGTTCCTTCGCAGCTGTGTCAGATTGTATATCCATTTTTCCTCGATATTTTCCTCTCCGATACTCATTTTTACTGCCATGATGTGGTAGCAAGTGCCGACGGATGGACATTGGCATTTTTCTGGAAACAAAGAAACGCTATAATTATCCCCATTAGGGTGAATTAAAAAAAAATGACCAAACGCATATTTATCAACCCAAACTAAAAATACAGGCAATAAAAATAGACTTCTACGTCTCAGCATATGTCTTTAGATAGTGTCTAAATACCTGCCAAATATCTCGTTGATATCTCAATTAACAAAAAAGTTATGCCCAAAAATGATGCTAAAATTGTCAGGAGTGCAACACCTTTTTGTGACATTTTGAAATTTCAATATTTTTTGGAGATCTGTGAAATAAAAAACAATGCTTCATGTTGAAAATAAAGACTTTCCTGATAATATTCAAAGTATTGAGCTTTAAATGTGGACTGTCATAACTTTTGTTTAATCAAGTTGTGGTCATGACTGATGTTTAAAAAAATGTTATACCATGTCAGGAGTGCAACAGAAAAAATGTAGTGTTGCCAAAAAAACATCAATTGTAAAATTCTGATAGAAAATTAAGACAAAAAAGAATTTTGGAAGTGTAAAATAATAACTGATATACATTTTAAAACGTAAAAATGTTATATAAATCACAAGCAGCATTAATGAGAGTCAAGTATATGTGCATACCCAAAAATGTCAGGAGTGCAACATTTGATGTTTTGCTCCCAAGCATGAAAAAACTATTATCATTATATGATTTTCTGATTTTTATTTTGGAAAATAAAGACACAAAGAGCATTTTTACCAAATAGATTTATCAATTACAGGATCTGTCTGTGCTTCAGATCTATATTTCTATGGTCAGGAGTGCAACACATTTTTTTAAAGATTCAAGTTGTGTGTCGAAAAGACTTCTATTCATGCTTAGAGGTATCCATTAATTAATAATGATCTTTTTGTATAATTTAATGCTAAATTATTGATAGTTTTATTATTAAAATCCATCCTTTTTCAATTTTATCAATTCAGATGTGTTTTTTTCTTTTTTGTGATTTTTTTAATGAACGTTAAAAATAAACACACTAAAACATTGTCATTAAATTCAAGTAATTCCTCCTCAACTTCACTGAAACAACAGAATAAGTTCTTATGTAATTTTCACTTCACAATTCTACTTTAAAGGCCCCAATGCTTTTGGTCAGGAGTGCAACAAATATGTTAGAATTATAAATCATCCACCAAGAATAAAAATAAAGAAAAAATGATGAGTACAATTTTTCTGGTGGGTTACTGTGTTTGTCCTCTAAAGGAAAATATGCTTTAAAATATATTTTATCTTCTAAATATTCATTTAAGCTAGTTTTTTGGCATAAAATAGGGTATAATTCCAGATAAAATGTGAATTTTAAATACTTTCATCTGTTTTAATTATGAAGTATTGGACTATAAGTATTGCACAATTTCATTACCACTTGATGTTGCCAACACTTTATGAATTTTTGTGTTCTATGGTTTTAATTTTAAACTTTACTGCAGTCAGGAGTGCAACAAAACTGCTTCATAATTACCGATGCTTTTTAACTATCTTTACTAAAAAATAAGTTGAAAAAAAAATGCTTGATACTATTTGATGTTCAAAACACTATGTCTATCAACAAATTACAGAAATTTTACAGTCAATTCAGGGAATAGTTTTCATCATTTCACATATATTTTAAATAAAATTTATATATATTACACTTTGCAAATAATCATGTTTTAAGGTCTTCAAAATATGAAAAACCTTCTGTAAACGATGAAAAATATCAACACAACAAATTGATTTACAAAGTAAGAGTGGGTTATTGTGTGTTATAATTTTTAAAACAATGTTAAATAAAATACATATCAGATGTCAGGAGTGCAACACAATAATGTAACATAGGGTCACTTCAAAATCTAGTATTTTTTGTAAGAGAACTCGTATATAACAATTCTTTTTTGGCTTAGTTTTAAAGAATTGACTTGAACAGACAAAAAAGTGAATTTTGGGGAATTTTATTGCTTCATATTTTTTTCATATTAAAACTTTTCAAACCAGAATTGAAAAAATAATGTAAAATAACAATCAAAAAGCCAATTTTTTGTCACATGTACAAGAGAAGATACTCATTCAAGGTCTAGATTTAATCATTTATACCCCTTTTACCATTTTGAAGCATAAAAAACTATAATTTCTTGTGATTATGTATTTTAGAAAGTCTTTTAAGGTGTCATGATATTTTATTTTTTCAAAAGAAATTTTACTCTTAAAAATTCTGAAACTATTTAATCCAATTATCTATTCTATTGCCACTTCAGGATTTTAAACTAGAATGCATTTGCAATATGATGATATAAGTGAAAAATATGTTATAAGTAGTTGAATTTTGCCAAAAAAATTCAGTTTGGTGGTCATTTTTTTTGAATTCACCCATTAGAACCTTTCACCACAAAAGATCCTGCTTCTGGTACATGGAATACCCTTTTGTCTTTCACAGCAGCCATTGCCAAGGACCTTTGGGTCGTACTCTGTTGCTCTTTCTCGTCAATAATAGTGGCATTATTTGGCAGATCTCTCTCTTGGTCTTTCTCTTCTTCAACTTCCTTAACATTCTCAACCAACTTTCCTTTCACAAGGTCCACAATTTTCTCTGGGGCACAAACATCATTTGGGAAGGCTACATCGCACTTATCAACAGCAGCACCTGAGTGAATGTTTTTTAGTCTGTAATTTCCTATACCACAAAGTCCTCTCATTGTCTCGTAAACATAAAACTTTTGCAAATAATTAAAGGCTAACACTGTAGCATCTAATGGAGCTTGTTTCCATTGCATCATCCTCTTAATGACTGCATTCATGCTTTCTGACATGTTGTTGGTCACACCGGAATAAGGGTCATAAACCTTGTGTTCTTCCAGAACCCATTTTGACGAATGCTGAATTACGTCCTCGTGTAGTTTGCCATTGTAATAATCCAGAAAAGGTTTGCTCCAGTACTGCGATACTTCCTCTAACTTTTCGTTGTAGTTTTCTTCATTTTCTGTCTGTAGCAATTCCTTCAAGTTGTTGATATAGACAAGTTGGTCGTCACTATTGCCACCATGCTGTTTGATCCAGTGTTTGGCATCACTATATATGTGGTTCCAGCAATGTAGTAGGGTTGCATTTGGAGTAACTCCAAATCCTCATTCAGTCTGTAATCTCTGAATCTCAAAAGCAATCCTTTTTCTTGATATAACCCCCTTATCCAAGTTTTGCACTCTTATACATTATTCGTTTTCATATACTGATACTCTTGTACGTAGTCAACTACTTTGTCCTTCTGTAATTCCTCTCAATAAAAATAGCATCTCCTTTCTTTGTAATACCTGGCTGGGAGTTAGGACGTGCAATGGGTGAAAACTTCATATAGCATATACAGCTGTATTGCAGTTATCCCCGATGTCCAGCATTATCTCCTCCCAGAAGCTCCCGAAGGAACTCAGACACAGATATGAAAGGAGATGTGTGGTGTTGAAAAATGAAGTAGACATGTACTTAGTTGTCACCGTTAGGTATCCATACATGTTATACTATACCTGAATCAAATTAATATGCTGTGTGTGTGTTTTTTTTTTATTTATTTATTTATTTTTTTTAAATTTTATTGAAAAAATTAATCAATAACAGCTAGTAGTTTTGTTTGGTACACAGCATATTAATTCAATGTGTCCAGTGCGATGAGTTGAAAGTCAACATAAATTGATATTTCATATTTTATTTGAACAAAAAATAAACCTGCATACCTATTCATTTGAGATTCGTGAGAATCTAAGTGCGCTAATGTGTGTACATCACACGAAGGCCGGTACTAAAGTATTGAAACATCAGTTGCTACTGATGTTATATATAGGAAATCTTAAAATAACTCATCCAATTAAAAATAATTTGTTAAATGAATTCACTTTCATCTTGATAGAAATTAAACGATGAACACAAACTCAGAATATTAAATTTAATTACAATTCCCAGTTAATACATGTATACCAAGCCAGCTGTGCAGATATTATCATATTTACTGATAATAACTTTATGAATCTTAATTAATACCCGTGTTCCAAGCCAGCTGTGCTGACATTAAGCTGCTTATTAATTTCAAATTAATACCTGAATACCAAGGTAATTGTGCAGAAAAACTTGTCAATGTTATAAAATGTAAATTGACTGTTGCGTATTTTTATTCAATTTTTTTATTTTCCTATTTTATTTTCTTATGTATATAGGTAAGTGACTATAAAAAATATACCTTCTTTTCTCTGCACCCGGGTTTCTTGCAATAATTCGGAATTTTTCAGTTTGTCCCGGGCAAACGCGTCCGGTTTTGACCTGTCCCGGGTCTATAAATATGGTCAGAATTCTAATAATTGCTGTTTAATTTAATAATAATTGTAATATTTAGGTATTTCAAGTTAAGATACAACGATCAAATGCAAATATCTCATACTTTTTGATTGCAATAAGCTTTAAATCACAAAAATGAGTTAACAGGCCTTGCTAACCATTTTAGTCACCAAGAAAAGGACGATCGTTGATAGTCATTGAAAAACACAATATTTTGAATTAAAATGTTCAGCGAAGGCAAATTTTATTGTTATGAATTATGTCCGTAAATTTCATTAAGAAAGAATAAGTATTTATTCCGTAATTGTCAAAAACCCGGTTTTCAGTTTCGAAATTCCCGGCCCGGCCCGGGTTTTACTACCCATTTTAGTCACACTCACTGAAAATAGTCACCTCGACACCATAAAACAAGCGCTTTCAATTCTATCACTCGCCCTCAAGTATTGAGTATTCTGAGTAGGATATTCAGAAGTAATTACCTAATATTCTGTTCAGAGAACATAAAGCTTACTAAGAAGATGTAAACTGCTTCTCATAAAGTCTGCTTAAAAACAATGCATTTAAGATTTTCCTACATTACTTCTGTTAAGATATTGACTACAGGGTATCCAACAGTAGATATTTATATTGTTCTTACATGTAGTTCTATACCATATAATTCATTGTTGAACTTTTCAATCCATGATAGGTATTTGTATTTTTGCACTGTATATTTAATTATTATCTTATTTGTGTTTTATTAATCTTTTTGGAGCCTTTTTCTCAATAAATATACAAGATGATCTTATCTATATACATGAATGAATAAATACATGTATTTTCATATTGAATTTTTATAATTTTATTTAACTTAGAATAGAATCTTTAGAATAAAAAAGACTTTGATATAATTACCAGACTTATAATTGAATTTTTTTTTTTTAGATTTACAGTAGGTTTGGAGTTAGAAATTATCAAGGTGGTGACTACAGTAGGAAAGAGTCTTTTTGACTTGAAAGGACTACCTAAGATATAAATGGAAGAGTACACCTTACTGAATAAATCTGATATTCAAAAGCTTCAAGGTAAATTCAATACTTTTATGCTATCAAAGATTTGTACATTTTCCGACTTTTTCACAAAAGAGCGCACAATCTCCGGAACATATTAAGTGTCTTGATTAACAAGGCTTGACTGTATATCACTGTCTCTGTCTATACCTTTGCTGTATGGCCAATGCTCTCTCCTGATTGTTAGTACTTAATCAATTATCACTCAAAGGTAGTTTAATTTATTTAAATTGCATAAACATATTTTTTGTCGTATGATTTTAGTATACATCTTGAAATGCCTTATCTTTTCTCCTGATATCAAACTTGTAATCTCAGAACAGATCGACTCAATCATTCTGACAAATTATGGTTTTAATTTCAACTAAACTTCTACATTTACAAAATAAAATATATTTTGCATTGAAAATACTAAGATATTGATTCAGTTTATTTGCTATATTTGTGCTCTTTTTAATTAAATTGATGAGCGTGAGAAAGAGTACTTAGGCCAAATAAAAAAATATGTGTGGTTCCGGTTACCTGACCGTCCCTATTTTATACCCCCAACCCTAAACTTTTTTCCGGCAATTTTCATTTATTTCCGGAATTTTCCCAGCTTTCCGTCATCGGCTCCAGTATTAATTTTAGTTTCAGCAATGGCGGCCTCCATGCAAAACATCGTTTCAACATGTTCAACACTTAGTGCAAGTGTTCAATTGATAGTATTAAATCTAAAGCAAGTTAGCATAGCGCAGAAGCATTCCTTTTTTCCAGCACCATGTTTTTTTGCTTCGTTTTGTTTTTGCTTGCCAAAATTAAATAAATATACATTCACAGACAGCTGGCCAGGTAATATGCCTTTGGGAGTTAGGGCATGAGAAAACATCATTTGATTGCATTGATTACGCAAGAAATAGCCCAATGTGTAAGACAGATTAACTTGTAAATTATGAAATAATTTAAATCAGGATCGTTTCTTTTAAACCAAAAGTAGAACAAAAAACAGTTAATGAGGAAAAGTAAAAAACAAGACAGCTGATTTTACCTGTATAAAGTCAACTCACATAGTACCAATTCTACGATGGCCGACAGCGGCCACCACTTTTGATTCTGAATATTGTCATTTTGTACAGCTTTTTTGTCAATTTTCGTTGACAAATTACAACTAAACTGGTAATGCTATATGTCCATATACAGTTTTTACACTGACAATTTACACTGGAGAAAATCATTAAAATTCTTTCTTGTGATATGAAATGAAGATACATAAAACAGGTTACTTGAAGGTGATAAGCTTAAGGTTCTAGCAGAACAGCAAGGTCGGGGTGATTACAGATTAGTATTGTCTTCTAGATATGCTTTCTCGACAGATTGTAGTAATTAATTCATAAAATTCCATGTTGGTGTACCTGCTGGTCACATCATAGGTAACCAGGATGACATTTTCCAGGTCTATCAGAAATTTGATTTTGTTCATAATCGGACGTGTCTTTGATGTATGAATTTTGTTTTTTAAACAATGCGCACGAGGAAATGATCACATTAGTTACATGTACCTATATTTTCATTCCCGTGCCACATTGAAAAATAATTGACCGACCAGGTGGAAGTCTTGAGAGGTTGCGTTGGCCTTTAAAAGTGTTTCAAGCATTTAGTTATTAATTTTATGTATTTAGAGAGCAAATACAGACTCCCACATTTAAGGTTGTCATTTTATTCTTGCTTAAAAACGGGTATATTTCCGTATCTAAAGTTTTGTTATTGATACATTCCATAAACTTTTGATTGGATGCTCACATATAGAGCTACTAAATCCTGTTTTTCTACCTCTACGTAATAGGTAGAATCGAGTTGTCTCATACACTTTGAGGATCGAGATATATCCGTTATATTCATGTATATCCATTACAACAAACGTATTACTTTTATTCGCCTTTTTAATTACAATCCCAAGAATATCTTTTTAATGATACAAGATGACAGAATGACGATTTACGTCTAATCTAGTATTAACTGGGTTACGATATCTCAGACTAATTTAGGGTGAAAATCATTAAAATGCTCTTTATCTCTTTCAAGCCACCTGTTTTATGTATCTTAATTTCATATCACACGAAGGAATTTTAATGTTTTTCGCTGGTGTAAATTGTCAGTGTAAAAAGTGTACATGTACATATAGCATTACCAGTTTAGTTGTAATATGTCAACGAAAATTGACAAAAACGCTGTACAAAATGACAATATTCTTAATCAGAAAGTGGCGGCCGCTGTCGGCCATCGTACAATTCATATTTGAGAAATGAGCTTGTAAGTATAAAGTCTTCAATGAGGCAAAAAAATTTCATTGTAAGAATTTAACATTTTCACAATATTAAATATATTTCCACTGACAGCTCTTATCAGTACTCTATGCCCGTTTTCTAGTTTATCATTCAAAATTTATTATTAAATAAAATAAAAATTACTCTGGATAAAAGTCATTAATTTCATTTATAAACATGGATTTAAAAAAAAAGATGTTCACCTCAAACTTTTTTTTTTTTACAAAAAAGAAATTAATAAGATTATTAGTGTGTTTATTATTTTTGATTTTAAAATATTTGTTTCATATTCATAACTAGGGTGTCCCTACCAATGTTGACTTGTATATTATCATGCCACATCTAAACGCCACTTGCAAAGTAGTGATAGGTATTATTTAGAAAAATTATTTTGTAAAAAAAAAATAAAAAATGAAATAAAAAATAAAAATCCCTACCTACCTACCCTAATTTTTTTGGAGGTGTAACCGGAACCACACATTTTTTTGTTTGGCCTTATATAGAGTAACAATTATGTTTCTTATAGATTCCAATGTTTTTGTCAGACATTTAGATAGACAATAAACTAACTTGTGACATATGCATTATATGACATATGTCAAATAATTCAACATTACTAACACTTTTCAAGGACTCTGAACTGTATTTTATACATGTCAGTTTACCAGTAAATTGTTCTTTTTTGAGATTCTATCCTTAAAATACAATATTATCATAATCTTTGTGCCATTATCTCTTACAAATTTAAATTAATATAAATTATGTCATCAACTTTAAGAGTTTCATTGACTACTTCTTTCATATTTCCCCCCAAGAGTGCAACTATCACAAAGCTGGTAATTTATATTTTGTTTGCATTTGGATTGTGCTCAAGGGAGATTACTCTTGACATTTTAAATCATGTTAGAGTGTATTATTAGCACTAAATATGCCATTCAGAAAGGGTATGTAATGTGTAAAGAATGTATAAATAATCATATGACTGTGTGAATGTGTGCTTATCTTAGCAGATTTCTGTTTTAAGACATTATGTGCAATAGCTACTTCATAGTCACTGCATAAATATGATTTTAACATATTACATGTGTATGTAATTAGACAGAAATCACTTTGATTTATAATAAAGCTAATGAGCCTGTGACATACAGGTGCACTTATTTTTAAATATTATAAAATAAGTAGACAGATAAATAGTGTTATCCTGCTTCAGACAAATTTGTAGATTAATGATTGGATAAAAGCTAATCACATGATGCCCTAAAATTTCTGTATTACGTCTCCGTCCGGGGGTAATATTAAAATCCAGTATGCAATTCTGTTATAAGGGCCATTATTGTAAATAAAAATGGAGGCTAAGAAACGGTTTGTTACTTGTTATGATATTTTATGTTGATTGTTATTGGATTAAAACTTGATATTTTGATAATATGCTCATAAAACTTGATGTTTTGATAATATGCTCATAGAATTTTTTTGAAATATTTAAAAAGGTCTTCAGTGGGATAAATTCGTTACACAGTCAGTTAGGGACCTAATACAGAGTCATACAGGGTGTGAAATGGAAATCCGTACGGGGACTCGGCGATTTCACACCCTGTATGACTCCGTATTAGGTCCCTAACTGACTGTGTAGCTAATATTACACCTTAAGTCTGACTATAAGTAATATTGTAGTACTCAATACATATAATATACCTGTAGTTAGCTGATTGATAAGAACAGGGATCATTATCATGGGAACGTACACATGCAGCCATGCTCTAGAATGATATTGCTGCATGCTGTTGCCTTCTTCTCAATGAATGCTTAAATACTTACCAATGTTCAGCTTTATTTTGATTATTTTATTATAAACATGGAATGAATGAAATTTATTCATGCACGATCAAATTCAATATTGATATTTGAAGAAAAGGTATATAGAAAAACAGGTAAAAATGCATTTATGCAGCTAGGATTTGTAATAATTGATCTGTATATATTAAAGTGCAGGTGTTGTTTTATCATTTCCACCACAAAACATGATTCATAATTCTGTTGTATGAGGCATTTATGTCCAGGAATATAGACCAAGTCCTAAATTACAGTGGTGTTATTTTCAATGCATGTATGTCTTCCTGATTTTCTTGTGGGAAGTTGACCTAAACAATGGCTTCATTGCATGATATCATGAGATGTGAAAGTCAGATCCAAAGTTAGACAGTAAATTATGAAAGGGTTCTCAAAACTGAATGAAAGTGTAGTCTTAATTTGTGGTTTAGTTTTCACAAGTGAACCTTGTTTGTTGGCGAAAGTGTGAAATCCACCTGATCATGGTTATATTATACCCTTTAAAACTTGTTATTTTGTGTATTGAGTGGTCAGAATTTATTTTCCACTTGATATTACATGTTAATCGGTTTTACTGTCTTTGTTTCCCAACAGAACCACTTGACCGGTCACCACCTGGAACCTGCCAAAATAAACAGACCCTTGGTACCTGATATTCACTCATAAAAATCTCTGCAAGTCAAAGGGCTGGTTGTGTTTTGTCTTGTGTAAGAAGGGGATAAATTAAATTTAGAGTCTGGGGTGTATGACGATTATTTATCCCCGGCATCAAGATAGTCAGGCCTCATGGAGCACTGATAAAAGCAGAACTGGCCTAAGAATACAATGGACTGATTTCTGTATAGATTTTAATTAACAATGCAAAAATGGGAAAAGATGCAA